AATCCAAGATAGTTGACTTGCTTTACTGGATTTATTATTATATCCTTAAAATTAAACCTTATATGGTCAACTTTTCTCTTGCGGCTCAGTAAAATCGCCTCTGTTTTTTCCACTGCTATTTCGAGTCTGTGCTCACGAGTCGTCATCTGCTGTAAACCTAAGACTCTTTATAGGTTCTTTAGTATTGGAAGAGGTGGAATCTATATTTTGGGCCATATTTATTTAATTAAAACTAATCCCAGCTACTTAAATATCAAATTACCTAATAAAACTAAAGCAATAATTCAAAACAATTCAAACATAACCTAAAATAAAAGATCTCGCCGGCCGGCTCCGGTTGTCAAATACCCGCACATGCCCATTTAAGCAATTTTTAAACGTTATTAGAGGTTATTTAGAAAGAGCGCTTGGTGTAATTGATTCGCAAATTACGTCAGGCGGTAACGTTATTAGCGGGTGTTGCGTTAAAAATTGACTCGCGCATATCGTAACCATGATAAGGTACGCGTAAATACTGGATGATGCTATTCGGTTTTCCGATATCTCTCTAATAACTGTGCCGGTCAGGCGCTGTGCACAATTTTAGAGGCCATAAGTGGGCGTGCTATGTGCGCAAACTAGTCACCTAACTAGTGCTCTATTCCGAAAATTGGAACCACGAAAAACAATAAAGAAAAAACAAATATTATAATCTGTATAATCTGTGGTATTAGCGTGTGTCGCATTTATAGTAAAATTTTCTGTCAAAATTTCATTCGAATCGTTAAAAGCACTCCGAAGAAACTCATAATAAATCGAAAAAATGAAGATTTAACTTCCTGAAGCTACGAAAAAAAAACAAAAGAATATAAAAATAAATCGTATTTTTGCGTGAGGAACATCCCCACGAGAGATGGCACATGTTTTTTAAAACACCCCGTATGTAGCACTTAAAATTAGTAAAATAATTCAATCTTCTATAAATGTGCCACTAAAATAATCAATAATCGGTCATAATTTATAAGGACAGGAATAACATTTCCTTGTTTTAAAAAATAATTTGGTTTGAATAATATTTTAGTTTTTTTCTTCTTTATTGTAGAAGTTTTTGCACTGGTCTGCAATTTTTTTATAGACTTGACATCATCCAATCCTTTTATTACAACCAAAATAACTTTTTTTTATAATTTTTGTAAATCTTCGTGGCACAGTGTGCTGTCTATGCATATTCGTGCGTGATAGCCTACCACCAGTTCTTTTACTTAACTGGTTCAATAATTGTTTCCAATAAATTGAATAAAAAATCGGTAAAAAAACTTTTAAGTTAAACGGTTTTATCTTATGTGCACTGAAAACTAGAAAATAATAATAACAATTAGGTATTTTGAACTAGTTCAGAAATATTTTAGTACTAGGCAGAATAGCTTTTAGGCATATTAAACTAAAATAAAAACGTGGGGCCCATTAACTATTGCTGTAATACTTTCTTCTATACTAAGTGTGGATTGCATCGACTTACTATAATCGTAACTGGAGATTTTGACAATCAATAACCAGCCGTGGCGGCTTCACCAGCGAACGCCGAGCTCATGATCTACCAAAATATAAAGATATGCTTTGCCATAGGTAGGATTTTAGAGGGGTTTCTATTTTAGTCTACGTTTTTATTTTAGTCTAATATGCCTAAAAGCTATTCTGCCTAGTACTAAAATATTTCTGAACTAGAAGTTCAAAATACCTAATTGTTATTATTATTTTCTAGTTTTCAGTGCACATAAGATAAAACCGTTTAACTTAAAAGTTTTTTTACCGATTTTTTATTTTCTAGTTTTAGTATTTAACGGAAATGCCTACCGAATATTCCTCATTCTATTTAATTCATTTAGTGCATCATTATTACATGGTTTTTTACCTGATAATTTATTACAATCTGACGCTCAGGTGTTTCTGACGCTAACAACTCTCTCTGTCTGTCACGTTGTGATGCTAGCCTGGACTCATGACGCTCAGGTGTTTCTGACTCTACCAGCTGCCTTTGTCTCTCACGTTGTGCTATTAACCTGGCATCATGTTGCTCAGGTGTTTCTGTTGCTAACCGTTCTCTTCGTTTCTGTAGTCGACTATAGGTTTCATTTTCACTTTCTTTTGCACGTTTCGTTCTATACTTTTCTTTCGCCTTTTCGAGCCTTCTTTTTCGTTGTGTAGCAGTTTCGTTTTTATTTTTGTTTGTGTTTTTATTTATTGTTTCCATGTTGTTCCCACGAGTAATGGACATTTTAACGGTCGACCCCAGAGGTCCAGTAGAGGGGCAAAGCTATAATATACAACAAGAGGCGCCCAATCTTGAGGGGAAACGCTTGCGACATTACATTTTTAGCCACCCTAATGCCATACAGTCCTCAGCACATTTTAACCTATTACCTTAACTTGGGTGGTAAAGCTACCGCTAACTACGTAGATACATCTAATCACCTATTTTTTTTATCTGTCCTTCTAACGTCACACAATCTTGGACACAACTGTTCTGGACACGACTGCTCATGCCCTCACCTAATACGCCATTTTGTAACGACGTCCATCTTGGATTTTAAATTTTGTCATAATCACAGTATTCTACTTGTGTAGCCCTTTCATTTGATACCCATATTGAGGGGGTTGTGGAAAAATATGAAATCCGCCATTTTGTACCGGCGGCCATCTTAGATTTACAATGTTATTGATATTACTATATTGTATTGTCATCGGAACTAAAGGTGCGTACCAAATTTCAGATCAATCTGACAACAGGAAGGTACTTAAATTTCAATTTCTAATTTTGACCCAAATAAACAAACAAATAAATAAATACCGTACGGGTCGAGCTAAATAAAACAGTTTAAAAACAGTTCTTGTTGCACTCGCCACCACTAATTTGAGTAACAGTGTTTTGGAACAGGTTTGGAGCAGGAACAAAATAGCATATGAACTATACCTGCGCCAAACAAGTTCCAAACAAAACCTGTGTGGAAAATAACAGATCCTGTTCCGAAGCATCAACACTAATTTGCATTAGAACGCATTTTACAAAAAATCAATAAATCCCAGATACACACACCGGAAAAGTCTAGGGATATTACAATTTTATCCAGCCATCGTCAGTAATTTTATTATTTGCATTTCTAATATAATAAAATTAAAATAAACAAATAGTTTACAGGACGTATTGGAAATAAAAATGCGAAATTTACCGAATTTTTCAAATTTACCTTGATTTTTATGGAACTGAAAAAAATACACACTTTTTTTTTATTCTAAACTATGAATTAAAAAAAAAAGAAAAAACCATTTTTACTTAATAAAGGGTATGGCCTCCTCTACTGTTCATTACAGCCCTACATCGTCTCTCCATGCTCCTGATCAGGATCGCTGCATTCACGGCCCGAACCAGATCCCTATGAGTTTCACGAGGCATACCCATTCTCAAAGTTCTTCTTTGGACCGCGTCCCATACGTGCTCAATGGGGTTGAGGTCAGGAGATTGTGCCGGCCAGGGTAAGATGTTTAATTGATGAGCATTGATAAACTCACTTACCACTCTGGCTGTACGAGGCCGTGCATTGTCATGCATGAGAATGAAGTTTCTCCCAAAATCATTGGCATATGGTAACACGACAGGCTCAAGAATTAAATCACGATATGTGATTCCTGTTAGAAACCTTTCAAGAAAAACGAGATCGGTTTTTCGGCCTAATTGGACTGCTCCCCAGACCATAACTGTTCCACCTTGATAAGGGTGCACTTCCTGAACATGATCCAACCGAATAAGATTTCCCGGTTCTCTCCATACCCTAAGCCTTCTCGAATCCGGATGTAATCCAAAGCGTGACTCATCCGTGAAGAGAACATTGGCCCAATGTTCATTCGACCACTGAACATGATCTTGAGCCCACAAATATTGTACCTCTCGATTTCCTCTCGTTAAGGGTTGAGCTCTCCAGGGGCGTCTGCTTCTTAAGTTGACCTCTCTTAATCTATTGCGAACAGTGTCAGGACTAACGGTTACATTATGTGTTTCCTGGAGAATTAAACTAAGCTCTGGTGCTGTAAGAGTCGGTCGGCGTCGAGCATTTAATTGTAAAAAATGATCTTGCTGAGGGGTAGTAATGCGATGTCGCCTTGTGTGCCTTTCAGCAACATCACCACTTTCACGGTAGCGTGCACTTAATCGCGATATTACACTTTGCGTTGTATTTAATTCTCTAGCTATGTCGATTTGGCGCATTCCAGCTTCGAGCATACCCATGGCCCTTAGCATTTCGTCTCTGTTAAGATGTCTACGCTCCATAATGTCGTTTAATACTAAACAGAGTTATTTGAATGAATTCTGGTCAGTTATCATAAAAACATAGCCAGTACAGGTTAAATTCGAGCAATTGATGCTAGGTGCTTTTTATACATTTGACAAAAAATGCACAAACACTTCTGCAAATATCCCAAATTTAGATATAACTAGTGTGACTACTTCGTTTCAATTGAAGTAGAAAAAATCGCCCTACAAATATGTGGTTGTTTATTCAAAACATTTATTTTTAACTTTAATAAAATGATATCCCTAGATTTTTCCGGTGTGTGTACTATATAGACTCCACTCATAAACGTATTCCTTAAAATTTGCATTTTTATGTCGTAAAATATAATATTAATGTATTTCTTACAAACATTTCTTTTATTAAGAACTATTAATGCTTCGATTAAAATGTCTTTTTTATGTCAAGAGAAAATAAATGCGAATCATATTTCTCTAAATTATGAATATTTAAATAAATATTCTATTTATTCTGAATTATACACGTTTTACAAAATATAAAGAAATGATTCGATAATATTTTATTAACTATTGCTTAACTCTATAATGCTTAGATATAAATAATGTCTAATTAGTAAATTAAAACCATAATTTTAGCGCTTTTCGAGCATTTTGAATATCAAGACTATATCAAAATATCTCAATAATTCGATACTATTTACATCATATTTGTTACCTATAAATGCCCTCCTTTCTCTCAATGGCACAACTGAACTTTTTGGCAGGTACAAACACGCCCAAAAAATTTATCACAGACTTGAGCGTGTGTTCCGTCTTGTCCACCAGTTGCTCGTAAAAAATTACGTGAGTTGATCCAGTAAAATTGTACAGCCAGTCCATGTTCAGCTGTTGCCAACCGTGAAGTTTGTCGTAAACGAACTGCTGCCAATCTAAAACAAAGTATAAGTCATTTACGGCGTAGAAGGCCTTGTCTAGTAAATAAGATTTCAATGCTTTGCGAAATGAAGAAAATGATGTTATGGATTTGATTTCAAATAGCAGGTGATTGTGCATTTTTTTCGAGTTGTATAATATTGAACTTTTAACTAACTCTGAGCGTGGGGTAGCTAGATAAAGATCTTGCTCCGCGTTCCTGAGTGGATAAGTGTGAGATGGCCTTTCTTGAGATGCTTACGTATTAGGCAAACGGAATCAAATATAAATAAGGAAGGAAGAGTTAATATTTTTATTTTTTTGAAAAAGTCCTGGCAATGAGTTCTGCTGTTTAGTCCCAGTGAATATCGAACAACTCTCTTCTGGTGCTTAAAAATGCGGTCAAATTGAGTCGCACAACACGTACCCCAGAATGGAAGGGCATATCTGAGGTGCGACTCAAAAAGTGCATAATAAACAGTTCTAGCCACTGACAAGTTAAGCTCCTTAGAAACAGATTTTAATGCAAAACAGGCAGAGCTTAAGTTTTTCGACAAAGCGTCGATATGCATGTCCCATTTTAGAGAATTATCTACAAAAAGCCCTAATAGTTTTACAGATTTTACGACGTCAATGGTGATGTTGTTAAGTACAAAGGCAAAAGAAAGAAACAGGCAGAGAGAAATATATTAGTATAATAGTTTTGACTCTTCTCATAAATTTTATAAATAATTGTTTAGACAGCTAAACTCACATTTTCCGTTGGTCCTCCTGTATCTGTCTGGAGAAGCAAATCCAATATGGCCGCCACTTTGTCTGTTAAATTCGGCATGGATAGCCTTTTCCGGCGAGCGGACCAATAGGATGGCCTTAGAGAACATGTTCCTAGCATTAGTACCCCATTCGTGAGTTTTCACCACTAACACTGAATTGTTGGTTATACTTTCAGCTGGAAAGCCATTTTTTAACAATCCATAATCTTTGTAGACTGACCCAGTATAGTAACCTAACGGTAAAAAAATAACAGAGAGATTAACATAACTTGATAGTTAGTTTGTTCATCATTACTGTTTTTTTTTCTAAATTCATTATAGACTTGGTGCATTTCAGTTGATTTCAAAAATTCCGACCGCAGCGCTCGATACGGCAGAAATTAGAAGTACCCGACTACAGTCACTCAGTTCCGGAACCGTTCATGTCGATCGTATTGAAATAATATTCAAATCGTGGCTCTGTCATAATATTTAAGTATTTTAGTTTTTAATAATGCAGTTTATTGATTGTGATTTGGTCAAAAGCAAAAATGGATTCAAGCAGCTCGACGAAACAAGTGAGTAAACAACATAATCAAAAAATTAAGTATGCATATACTATGAGAGGATACATTACAATTGGCAATATTAATGGTATACTTGTTTTAATGCTTAATTTTTTCATTAACATCTTCTAAAGTTATAATTATGTACCTTTAAAAAAATTCGTTATAACCGAAATAGCCTCAGCAACTATAGCAAAATCGGTGCGATAAACTATGCTATTGTAATCGCAAAACAATTTACGATGCACGTGATCAACTTTGAGTAACAACCGATGGCGACAGCGCTGCCAGATTGAGAGGGATTTATGACATGAATCTTAATTTAAAATTGACAAACAACATATTTATTATATCATTTTTTAAAGCGTTTTACGTTTTATTTTTAATTTAATAATTAATATTTTAGTGATTCCTTGATTTACTTGTTTTATAGCTTATTTTACTTATTACATATCGGCAAAAACTATATAGTCATCCATTATGAAGAATATTATAAGCGTTATTATGGGTTATTTATTTATTGATGTACAGGGTGGTCGAAATTGGTCTGTTTTAACAGAGAAAACCTATTTCCTGACTAGATAGAGCAAAACCGACATAGATGTTATGGGCTCGATTTATGAGAAACGTTTAATGTCCTAAACCGTCTGTTCATATTTTCACTGCCAACCGAGATACGGAGTATTTTTGAATTTTTTACCATTTGGAAAAGTGCCCATAACTTTTGTATTTCCCGGAATAATAAAATTCTGTAAAAACGTTCTTAAGGCACTTTTTTAAGCACAATCCAGTGGCGTATTCAGTTTTTTTCTATACATGCCTTTTTAGTCAGAAATAATAAAAAATATAATTTTTTAAATGGAAATCATAATTGGCTATGAACTTAAAAAAAATGCTGGCGTTTAACCCTTTCCAACGATATAAAATTATGTGTATTTATTTCTAAAAATGAGAGAAATATTACGTTTTTTTATTTTTGTATCGAAGCGGGCCTTGATTTTGTGTTGACCTATAGTTGCCTAATTATTTTTTATCACAATTTAATATTCTATATCATTATTTATCTGCATAATTAAAGACTTTTGAAAAGGTAAATCAACATTCTATATTAGTATTACCATTTACAATTAAAAAGCCAGGGTTACAACTGCACTATTAAATAGATAATTTAGAGAGAATTGGAATGGAACAAGGGATCCCGTATCATGGCCTGCTAGGTCCTGTGATGTAACTCCTTTGGACTTTTTTTATGGGGGAAATTAAAAGGCTTTATATATAAGGGAACAACTATTGGGACGAGAGAAGAATTACAGAAGGCTACTAGGCAAGCTTTTGGACTTATTACACCAGTTCGCCTAATAAATTGTTGTAACTCTGTGCGCAAAAGATGTTTATTGTGTATTCAATAAGGGGGTGCTCAGTTTGAAAATCTTTGATTATTTTTTTAGAAAACTATATTCGTCACTCAAAAAATACTTTTTTTTAGTTTTATTCTTTGTTTATTGTATCGATTTCAATTGTAAATACTAATACTAATATAGAATGGTAATTTACCTTTTCAAAAGTCTTTAATTATGCGGATAAATAATAATATAGAATATTAAATTGTGATAAAAAATAATTAAGGAAATAGGTCAAGACAAAATCAAGGCCCGCTTCGATATATAAAATAAAAATAAAAAAGGACAACATTGCTGAACACGGCGCAAATATAGCGATAATAAAATTCGGTTTAAACTAATTTTTGCAGCTTTAATCTAAATAAAATATCTGTTGCACTCATTTTCTCTATAAAGTAAAATAAAGAGCTGCTCGGTATCTTAAATTTTTAACATTTTTGCCTAAATTTCATTTAATCAGATTTATAGACTTTAGTGTCAATGTCGATATGATTGATGACGTGCATCGGAAAATATTTTGCGATTACTATAGCTACCGTAGTTGAACTCATCTAAAAAGTTTGATTAGCTTGAATAATAACTGACGATATTAAAATATTTACTTTTTTATTTTTATTTTTAGAATTTTCACAAATTACACTTCCTAACACTTTTCAAAATTTTTTCGTGTATTCGCTATTTAAAAACGTGTATTTGTTTAGTCCACTGTTTACAGAATTCTCCGATGGTCGCAGCACCGGCGGAGAATGCACCAAGCCTATACTGCATACAATATTTACAATCACTATGAAGGTCATCATAACTCACACCAAAAATAAAGAATTAGACTGGATACACACAAAAAAACTAAAAATGGTCTAACCATGGTAAAAATGGGGACCATAGCATTTGAGACACCCTGTATGCAAGCCCATTATAATTCGTTCATTTACCTGTAGCTTGTTGTAGTAAATACCGCAGCCATGTGTTTCCACTGCCAGGAAAACTAACCAAGGCAACTGGTTTCTTATCTAACTCTAAATCTTCATCGGGGTGCATGTACTGTAGTTCGGAGCACCATTGGATTTTGGATTTTTTGAGAACTGGACGAAACGCGCCCGCACTATAGTCGAAATTATATTTTGAATCTCTACCCGGCTGAACTCGTTGATGGCTAACAGCTCTGTCCGGGATACTTGGCTGATAACAAAAAGTTAATTAACAAAAAATAGAAAATTAGGCCTAAAGGTACGCGCACACTGACCAGCGCCGCACGCGCCGCATCGACCGAAGAAAAATATTGTTTGTGTTACTTTCAATGAAGGTGCGCACACTAGCCAGAGCCGCACGAATCGCATCGACGAAAATGCGGCCAGCATTGTTGGACCAGAATGATTTTCGGTAAATGCGGCTAGTGCTGCTGACGTCACAAGCAATTCCTTCGACTCTACGTAGCGTAGGTAGCCGAAGAGGAGATTAGAAATTCAATATGCTAAACGGGCGTCCAGACCGGATGAGGGAGCAGGAGCGAGCAAGAATTCGGGTATGTTCTATGGGAACGTTTAACTGGTGTGGACGGCTCTGCGAGCGAGCGAATGATTGCTTGCTCGCGCTCGACGCTGTTCCATGCCGTGTCGGTACATCAAAGAAAATTCGCGCTCTTGCACGTTCGGTTTGGACCGGATTTTGTTTACCACGTTTGCGATCGAATATCAAAAATGGAATGGCCGAATGAAGTTGTTTTAGAATTAATAGAGGAGTACAAAAATTGCCAACACCGTAAGGTTATAGCTAGCCTTTCTCTAGGTGAAATTGCTTTTCGGTAATTGGTATCACTTTTCATTATTTTCATGTCAATTAAATCTAATAAGGTATTAAAATCTGTAAGTGACATCCGACAAAAGTTCTTAAATATTCCAGAATCTTCTGTTTCAACATCGTTTAGTAAATTGTCACCACCATGAGAAATGAGAAATTCGATTTTTAAAAAGAGTCATGTTCCACCACCTCCTCTGCAGTCGTTTTCTCTTTTGACGTTTCAACAATTTATAAAATACAATGAAAGACACACAAGCAATAATTTTTCCGACATTATGAACATGAAGTGCCACACACCGATCAACAACGAACATACAAATAATCGCTAGGTCTGGACGGAAGCTGATCACGTGCTCGAGAGCAGCAGAAATCACAAGCGAATTTGAATAAATGTTTGCTCGCGCTCGTTGCTGCTCGCTCATCTGGTCTGGACGCCCCTTAAGAAAGTTTGCAAATTTTTCTTGGCTTATATTGAAAAATTTTTAGTTCATCCTCAATTAAATATGGAAATAATGTGGATTTTTGCAAATATTGTGAACCTATAACTTTCGATTCTTTCTCGTGATTTCTTCTTCTTCTATTAACAAGGAACTCATAATTATTTCTTGTTCGTTGTCATTTATTGTCGAGAAATATTAAAAAACACGCTTATCACCGCAGACAGGACTCCGGAAGCGACTAATGAGAAATTCGATTGGCAAATATGGGTGTAGTAGGGGAAAAAAGAAACAAAATAGCGAATAATGCGGCGCGTGCGGCGCGTTCGCTACGGGTCAGTGTGCGCGACAAGAAAAAAAATGCGATTCGTGCGGCGAGTGCGGCTCTGGTCAGTGTGTGCGTACTTTAAAGCTTCATTCGTAACCTCGAAATTAGTGGAATAAATTAGTGGTTTCAATTAGAGTAGAAGTTTGTTCCCCTAATTTCAACGTAAGCATTCAAAACGTCAAAATTAATGAAAATAATTTTCATTTAGTTAACAAATTTTTCTAACATTTAGTTAGAAAAAATTTAGGAGTTTTTTTTAGTTTAAAAAACATAATTTAGGTACTTAGTAGATTAAATTTACAAGGAAAAAAAATACAGAAAAGATCCAATGATTCTCAAAATTTAAGTAAAAAATGATTTATTTTTTTCAAACGTCAGAAAAGTATTAATTTTTGCGACGTGATTGACAATATAAAAAAGTCATTTTAACGTCTAGGCATAAAAGTAAAGCACTTTTACGCCTAAGCACAAAAAAATACGAAAATATATTATTAAACTGACACAAAGTGTCAAATTCAATGAGCCCGTAATCATAGTTTCTCGATATAGAATTACATACAAGGTATTACTTTTAAATCTTTTTATATTATTTGGAACGTTTGAAATCGTTTAAAAAATTATTTGTGGCGTTTGAAAAAAAATAGCATGTTCCATTCGGAGTAAAAATGACTTTTTGTGGCTCGCCTATATTGGACAAAGTTAAATGTACAACCTCGCCACGAAAAGTGTCATTTTTACTCCTAATAAAACAATATACTAGTATTTGAAAATTTTCAAAATAAAATAACTCGGTTATTTTGGACTTATTTGAATTTTTTTTTGAAACGAGAAAATATATGTTTCCCTTATCGAGATACCTACCAGCCCTGAAAATATTTGTACTTAATTAAGACATTAAGACTCACCCTGTAAAATAGTGTTATTTTCAAACTAAGTGTACTCAATTACATCATCAGAGACAAACTAATTTTATTTATTAAAAATATTCAACTATTCCGGCTGCGACGGGATTCGAACCCATAACCTTTAGATTGGTAGACAAGAGCTGTACCTTTTAATTTTTAACACTATATGGCTGTACCTCTACGCCACGGAGCGCTTTTTTATTCTTAGCTAATACTTTTTTTTAATATTTTTAATAAATAATTTTTGACAGCATCTCTACGACTTTGAATTTTTATTTATTTAACAATTGATTACTTTTATTCCTTGTTCGTAGTTCGCTTTCTTGAACCCATGTAAAGATACCGCCGACAAAATCACCACACCCACTATATAGCATAACAAGAGACTAGCCAAGAGCCAAAATTTAAATCTGGTAATAAGGAGCATTTGGCCATGTTTTGTGAGGTTTCGTCCCTGTGGTTTAATTTACATTTCGACAGGTGTTGTTGCACTTGCACCATTCAATGCTGAAAAGAAAAACAAAAATGAAAAATGAGTGTATTAATAATAGCCTTATAATAGGTAGTTGGCTATGGCAAGTGAATTCCATTGTAAAAATACATTGATCAAAAGTCTAGACTAGTAGACATAATTATTGTTGTAGTAATAATGTAAAAATTTAAAACACTTTAAATTTTTTCTCATAAATTTTGCACCAATGAATTTGAATATGCAGAATTATATTTTATTTTGATATGTGTATGACAGCACGCGCTAGAATAAATTGACTGAGATATGTATAGTTAGAGGTATGAAAGTTAATTTAAGAAATTATTTACGTTCAACATAAAAAAGGATGCTCTCGTTTAGAAATATTTTAAGAATTCATATTGTTTACGCGAAAAATTCTGTTGTTTATGATAAAAAAGTAAACTAAAAAGCATTAAAAAGAAGAAAGTATTTTTATGAGAAGAGAGATAATGTAGACAGTCAGAGAAAAACGTAATTTTTCAAAATTTCTTCTAAATAAAATGTCTAAAAATTAATTCAATTATTACACTATCCTTTGTTTCTAAATTTTTAGCTTTTACTATATACAGGGTGAGTCTTAAATAAGTGCAAATATTTTTAGGAGTAGTATATTTCGACACCAGAAACACGAATAGGTGGTTTTTTTCGCGAATTTTTTTGAAAAAATTGTTTAATTTTTAAAAATAATAATTTTTTGATAATATGGCAACAAAGGGAGTAGGCTAAATTTACAAGAACGAGAACCCAGAATAGATCCAGTAGTTATGAAAATTGTAGCAAAAACATTTTTTTGGAAATTTTCAAAGTAAAATAACTCGGTTATTTTGGACTTATTTGAAAAACGGTAAAGAGAAAATATATTTCTTTTATCGAGATCTACCAACCCCGAAAATATTTGCACTTATTTAAGACTCACCTTATTATGGCGTTATACATTATACAGGGTGGTCCGAACTGTATTCTGAAAACTTCGGCAGCGTATTCTGCAGATAAAAATAAGTAAAAAAGTTCGTATAAATGTATATCGTAAAATGCTTAGTTTCCGAGATACAGGGTATAGAAGTTTAATTTTTATTTTGGTTTTTTCGAAATAATTTCTGAAGTAAGGTTAATATTTCGATAAAAATTGCTGTCTGGAAGTTTTTTGACATGAGAAATTTGATTTTGATGTCAATTTCACTCCTATTTGTAGGGGGCGCCACCTACATGTGTATTAATTGTTCTGAAGAGTAATAACTTTTTGTCTGTACCTTTATAAAACTACTGAGTAAAAAAATATACATTTTCGTGACTTTTTACGTAAAAAACGTCTTTTGGTAAAAATCGCTACGAGGAACCGTTCTCACGATATTTAGAATGGAAATAGTCAATACATGTAATTTTTAACAAAAGATAAACACGTTGCGCGTTGGGTAAACAGGTAGATAGTTATTTGACTGTAATAATAAATCTAGAAAATTTTTATTTTTTTACATTAATCATACATTTTTTGCAAAAAATGATGATAAAACATTTTTCCTTGAACTTTCGGCACAAAAACATTTCAAATTTATGATTTCAGTCTAATAACTATTTAGTCAACATGTTTAATTTATGTCAATGATGACAGGTATTGATAATTTCGATTCCAAATATCTGGAGAACCATTACTCGTAGCGATTTTTACCAACAGACGTTTTTTACGTGAAAAACGTTGTAAATGTATATTTTTTACTCAGTAGTTTTATACAGGTACAGACGAAAGATTAAACCACTCTTCAAAACAGTTAAAACCTTATTAAAACATATGTAGGTGGCGCTCTCTACAAGTAGTAGTCATATTGACATTAATCATCAAATTTCTCATGTCAAAAAATGCTCAGACCAGCTCAGACACCTATTTTCATCCAAATATTGACGTTACTTCAGAAATTATTTGAAAAAAATCGAAATAAAAATGAAACTTCTACACCCTGTATCTCCGAAATAAGCATTTTTAGACATACATCTATACGAACTTTTTTACTTGTCTTTATCCGACCACCCTGTATATTATATTATGCGGCGTTATCTGGCGTTATACAGAGTGAGTCTTAAATAAGTGCAAATATTTTTTAGGGCTGGTAGACCTCGATAAAAGAAACATATTTTCTCTTTACCGTTTTCCAAATAAGTTCAAAATATTCGAGTTATTTTACTTTGAAAATTAAAAAAATATATATTTTTGCTCAAATATTGATATTGGATCTTTTCTGGGTTTTCTTTGCAGTAAATTTAATCTACTACCTATGTTGCCATATTACCAAGAAATTATTTTTTTTAAATAAAAAAATATCCAAAGCGTTTTTCAAAAAATTTCAAATTTTCAACAAACATTTTTGGTGAAAAAAACCTCATAGACGTGTTACTGGGTTCGCATTTTACTGACTAAAAATATTTGTACTTATTTAAGACTGACCCTGTATAACAAAAGGCAGGTTCTGAACTCCATTGCAACTTTATTTACAAGCATAGTATGTGAGACGCGGATACTAAAAAATAAGCTAAGATGGCCAGCTGGTTCTGACTAAGTTGTGGTTACGATCATATACTTAGTGCGTCGGGCATTTGTAGCTCCTATATTAAAAAAATTGAAGATTTTGTTTAAGTGCAAACCTAAAGTATGTACCAGGATGTAATTCCGGAAAATATTTTAACTTCTATAGGGTGGCTCAAAAAATTTGAGTGGATCGGGATGATTTTTTTAAATGAAACACCCTGTATATTGTTGCATCTTTGGCTTCCTTTCAGATCACTTTACATAATCCTAAGATATGACTAAATCTATTTCGATAGTTTCAGAGATATTAAAAAATAAATCAAAAATATAATATATTTTTCGACCCTTCTTCAAAAAATATTAAAAATACAAGAACTGTTCTGGAATCAAAACTATATTAGATATTTACTTTAAATGGTCTTTTCTTACTTTGCTATAAATATGATAATCGTAAATCATACAGGACGTTCAATATTTTACGCCAAACTTTCAAAAATATAAAATAATTTTTCTTCGTTTTTTATTATATATTATTTTTTTATTAGGTGGAGAATTAAAAAATAAACATTTTTTGTATTCAAAGTATTTCAAAATTTTTAATAGTTTTCCGGATACCACGCAGTGTTATTTCATATGGCGCTTCTAGCGGTAAAATACGGGAGAAAAATCATTGGGTGGCTTTAATGAAAATTTACTGTGGAAAATGCCATATGAAATACAAAACCGGGAATATCTACGAAACCGTTAAAAATTTTGAAATACATTTTTTAATTCTCCATCTATGGAGAAAATAATTTATAGGGTGTTCCATTTAAAAAAACGAAGAAAAATTATTTTATATTTTAAAAAGTTTGGCGTAGAATTTTGAACATTCTGTATGATTTACGATTTCCATATTTATAGCTAAGTAAGTACAGACCATCTAAAGTAAATATCTATTATAGTTTTGATTTCAGGACAGTTCTTGTATTATTAATAACTTTTTAAAGAAAGGCTGAAAAATATATAATTTCTATTTATTTATTAATATCTTTGAAATTATCGAAATATATTTACTCATGTCTTAGGGTTTTGTAAAGGGATTTGAAAAGAAGCCAAAAATGCAATAATATACAGGGTGTTCCATTTAAAAAAAAAGAATCCCGATTCACTCACACTTTTTTGAGCCACCCTATAGAAGTTAAAATATTTTCCGGAAATACATCCTGGTACATACTTTAGGTTTGCACTTAAACAAAATTCCCAAGTTTTTTATTCTAGGAGCTACAGATGCCCGACGCACTATTGCCGGACCCTGTATATTCTTTATCTTCATTATAAAATAATTTCGTTAAACTCCACTAAGGCTTCGCTTAAAGATTTGAGTTTTAGAGAACATTTTATTTCGGAAAACATTTTAGTTAAAATAATATTTCGTTATGTTCACATTGAATGAAAATGCTCTTGAATCATGGTTTTTGCAAGAGTTTTATAATAATAATAATTAATTGCTCACAGCTGTTTTTAAAAAAAAATAAGGTAGGTACATAAATGGAAATTGCTAATTTTATTAATTTTTGGTGTAAACCTATATTCAAAAAGTCTGTAGTATTAGCTAGGATTAACTAAAAACCTATTGGAGATAAATTTGACTGATAAAATTTGTTATCTACCTGTAATACTCACAGATTATAATAAATAAACGTAAAATTATATATATATTTTTTTCTTTTTTTAAATATCTTTCTAGTAAATTTTCCTTTCTGTTTATATTGTTGTTTTTTTTATTAGAATATGTATTCATTTGATATTATATTATATTATATTATTATATTTATTCTGCCAATTTCTTTATTCTTAATATACTTTTTTTATTTGATAAATCTGCTCAGAACTTTTATGAATCTTACTAAAACCAGAGAGTCATTTAATATCAGATGTCAATCTATTACGTTTTTTCATGGGCGTTAAAAATGTTATTTAAGATATCCTTTTACACCCTTTTAATTTGGCTCTAAATAAATCTTAATGATTCACGTTTAGAAACGTTTATTTAAAAAACACTCTCCATAATAAAATATTACTTTGATACTTTTTCTACACCTAAAAAATCTATACCTAGAAGAAAGAGTTCGCACAATCATAAATCCTCAAATGTCAATAACTCTAAATTTATCTTATAAAAAAACTCTTTTGAGTTAATCTCACTCTAACCTTTTTAATTTTATTTTGTTAAGTTCTTTTAAAAACCCTGAATGAATGGTAACGTTTTAGGTGAAATTTTTGACTTACTTAGAGAAATACGAAATTAAAACAGCGTCTCCCCGGTATCCATCTCCGATATTGTCCTTATCTGCAAACGATATCTTTTGTTGACTTTTCCCCACCTGCAACGATCTGTTTTCCCTTGGACACCTTCGAATGAGAACTGGCAAAATCGAATCTGGGTTACGGGAGTGCGCTGGAGAGACGCCTGTGCGTTGCGACGCCCAGCCGTCCGTCTCCAGTGGCGTCGGCATTTCGAGTTTTTATTAGCGATGAAAAAAATATCAACGATTGAGTAATAATAAATAGTTTATTAACCTAAAAAATAATTATACTTAATAATATAATATTTATTGAATTACACTAATAATCTTGATAGTTTTTAACAAACTAGTGTATATGATTTTCAAAACACCTCATTATTTGTCCTGTAAAACTTTTACTACAAGAAAATAAATATAACAAAGTGGCAAATAAATTTCTAAAAAAAATTGAAACAATTAGGTATTTACTTTATTGATCTACATCTATACTTAAATGAAATTGATTAATTTGTCTGTGTATTTCGTCCTATTGCTGCCAAAAGTCACTAACTAACATTTTTCCGAACAACCAAATTCAATCACTAACTATGTTTTGAATCGGAGAATCAATTGCAAAAGTCATTAACTACGATTTCTGGCTATTCATGTTTTATTTTAATACCGAATAGTTACTAACTATAACATCTTTATGCAATGCAATTCTTCTTTAGACGCATTTTTCTCGGAAGTAATAAAAAGTAAGTTAGTGACTTTTGGCAGCAAGGGGACGATTTACTTATTGAAATCAGACAGAAATGTTACAAATAGGAAAACTTATTACTATTATACCGGGTGCGTCTGAAATACATAAATTACATAAATTACGATCTATTTGCGTATTCAATTGTTTTTGGGTTGGTGAAACCGGAAATGACGACAACTTTTGATTTTTAAATGGTACCCTCGGTAATTTTTTACTTTTTTTGTCATTTCAATTGTTTTTGGTAACTTCCTGACCCAAAAACAATTGAATACGACAATCAGTCCTAAATGTCATATACTAACATACCAAATAATATTTTTTTATCTGAAAAAATAAAAAAGTTATAGGGGTGAGCCACTTTTGAGACGCACCCGATAAATACTTTACGAATAAGAAGATTTACGAAGGAATTGCACCATACAATCTCCAAAATCCATTGCACCAATCGAAAAAAAGGCGTCAAAAGGGGCTGGGAATGACAATCGATGGTAATTTTGGCGAGATCAAGCCCTAGACGTAATTTGTTTGGCCCGTACTGTGCTTATACTGCCATTTGACGTTAAGAAGGTTGTAAATTATATTTTTATATTGAGTAAAAATGATTTTATATGATGTAGTTTAAAATTCGAGGAAAACTATTTTTTTGGAAGTAGATTTGTGTGTCTGAATTGTTCTAGTCTTTTGTAATTTTTCTATAATAAATACAATTTAACTGTCGAGATAGATATTATAAAAAAAATACTTATTTACTGGAATTTGTTTATTAACCCTATAATTAACCCATATTTATAAACAGCATACTAACATTTTAAATAGTTTGTTAATAAAAAGGTGGGTAAGTTAATTTTTCTTACTTCTTTCTAAACTTCCATCGGCTTTTAATTTTTGACATATTTTTGACCCTCCCGTGTAGCTATATAATTTAGTTATTTTTATTTTTTTATAGGTTAGTATATTGGCAACATTGATAATGATGTTAAATCTATGGCTTAAATCAAATGTCTTAAATGATTTAGGTTAGGTTTAAGAAGTCACTGGAAGTCACATACAGTCACCTGCAGTCACATAAAAGTCACATAGACAAGAAACAGAGGCAAGCAAGATAAATTAATGTAAAATATTTTAATTAATTGAAATGAGTGCAGCTCTTGTGAAACAGGCCTTAGAAATTGTCGATCCAGACTTTAAAACAAATAACAAAGGTAAGTACTTATTTCAATTATAAAACTGATTTTTTCTGTGACTTTAATAATGTAAAATTATATTTTAAGCTTCCAGGAGAAAAAACAAAACAGATGCATCTTCATTATTTCCCGAACATCACAGGATTATTGGAAAATCATATAAAAAAGGCAAAAAAGGTATTTATGGATATAAAGAAGTGTGTTTTGATATACATTAATTGAGTATTTTTCTATATTTTGCAGAGAAAATTGGTTTAGGTTTTGAAAAAAAACTTTCGGTTCAAGAAGCAAAAAAGCAATTCAAGACAAAAGAACAAATATTAAAAGAGAATTTAAAGAAATTGGAAGTGATACGAGAAAATAGCAAAATTACATTAAATAAGGAACAAACCAAAAATGTATTTTTTATCATTCTTTATTTTAACATTTAATATACCTAGTGTTATATTTTTAGATCATAGAACGAGCCAGAACCAGAAGACCCATTGAATCAAGAGGGAAAAAGTCAAAACAGCCCAAATCAGCATTTACGGATGAAGATTTTAAGAAATTTGAAGAGGAATATTTCAGCTGATTTACACAAAATGTTAACAGATAGAAACCAAGGCATTCTGAAATTAGGACTGAGTGTTTCTTTTCTTTTATATCTTTTCTTTTTACTGTTTATTCTACCCTTGTTACCTATAGAAAACACTATCTTTGAAACAATTACACCTCCATCATACATATTATTATTTTGTGGAATATTTGGTTTACTGTTTATTGGGTCTCTTTCAGTGTTTACTCTTTATGTCATGCTTAATAAATAAAAATTATATTTTTATTTATTAAGTAAATTATTATTTAACGCAGAGGTTTAAATATATAGAAATCCATAGATCCACTAAGAAATGCCATAAGATTGAAAAAAAAAACAGTTTTAAAGTTGACTTGGAAATGGCATAAGTAGAATGATTATATAGTCAGTATTCTCAATATTATATAGTCATCGATCATAGTTTTAAAGCCAACTTGACGCTTTTTTTTTCAAGTACACTGTAAGATTGCCATGGACTTAACTCAGTTAAAAAATATATATCTTTTTCTTTGTTATTAAAGTAACATTTTAATTGATATTTTGATATTGTTTCGTGGGGTTAAATTAATGTATTTTAGCATATTCATGAGTTAATAATTGTTATTCAGTTTAAATTAAAAATATAATATATTATTTTGAGGCATTGTTATTATTTAACACCATTTGATTGGGTATTTGACATAATTATTTGATTCTATAATCTGTCCAACGAGTTTTGACAGATGACATTGAAAAAATTACAGAAAATACAATTTACCTATGAATAAAAAATGACAAAACAATTGTCACTGTCATGGATCCTCTCATTTCACAGACTATATATATTTGTGATAAAATAAACACACCATTTAATTTTAATTAATTCTATTACATAGGTATATATTATTCACATTTTAATACTTAAAAATACGGACTTCTTCCTAGTGGAGCACCCCACCATGGCCTAGAACAAGATATATTTTAAATTGAATAATAATAATTAAAACTGATTAAAATTAACATACATTTGCCTATTGTACTGCATACTTCTTTCAGAAGTGACAAAGGCTCTTCCTCTTGAACCACGCGCCATGCGGGTGGATGCCAGTATCTCCCTGCTTATTTTGTTATAACCTTAAAAAAAAATATGTTACAAAATTATTGTATTATGACATAATTAAATAATATGTAATAATAGGTTTGTTCCATCACAGTAATTTGCAGGGGCGGATTGCAGAGATTGCAAAATATAGCAGAAATATGAAGAAAGTACTACAAAACAAACTACAATCAATTGTTTCTAATGGATTTCGAGAAATCGATTTTTGATTTTCGCATACTGTCTACAAAGAAAATACAGCAGAAATATTAACAAAGTTCTTGAAAAAACTACAATCTATTATTTCTAATAGATTTCGAGATATCGATTTTTGAATTCAGAGTTCTAATAGCGCAACCACTGTCGAACACCAACTCAAATCCACTTACTTTTACCAAAAATGCAAGCGTTTCTAACTTGCACTTAAAAATTTCCAAGCTATAGGGAAAATTGCTCGTTAATAAATAAACAAATAAAGTATCACAAGTAATTAAATCGTGAAGCTGAACGCATGATGTACACCCTTTCCTAGAATTTTAAGTACTGATTGGGTCGACCGCGACGAATCTGCTATATACCCTTCCACGTCTCTTAGCAATGTGCACAGTTTCTCGGTTTATTTCATACGTTTGGCAAAATTTTTACTATTCTCTCTTTGTTGAGTACATTTATAAACGCATTGTACTCTTCTTACATACGGAAATCTCGACCCAAAACTAACCTTTGCCAGTATATACTCATGCCTTTAGTATATACTCATACAGAAAAAAATATATAATGTGTTAAAAATCATTTTAATTAAAATTATTGGGCATCATTTACCTGTAGGGCCAGTGGGTTGAGCTCCACATGTTTCCAAAGCTACAAAATCATCAACATGTAACGAAGGAGGTCTGGATGTGTTGGGAGGTCGCGATCTAAACAAATCAGGTCGTTGCGGTGCAGTTCTTGGAAAACCTCGCGGCCGCATCGGTGTAACTGAAAAAAAATACATACATAAAAAGTAAGGTTTAAATCAACGTCATTTTATTGTAACAATAATTATACATTTTTAAAAAATCGTAATAAATAAAAATGTGATTCTAAAATATTCGCTGTATTAAATATAATAAAATATCTCATATTTGAATAAAAGTAATTATTACATATTTCTAAATGAATCATGCATTTTTCTGCCTTTCTCTTGTGAGTTTTTTTTAGGATAGTTGGGGTACGCACTGATATGTAATTTTTAGTCGGCCGACTATTTAGTTGCAAAAGTGAAACCAATATATGCTTAAGGATCCGATTGGCCCAATATTTGATTGCATTGGTATCCTTAGACTATACGCTGATAGGCAATTTTTAATCGACCTACTATTTACCTATATTTGCACATTTGTAACCAATATATCTGCAAAGTGTCTTGTTTTTCAAATTAATATTTAGTTTTAGAAAATATACAATAATTGTTTTGGAGTAGTTTGTATTAAGGTACGTACTGAAAGGTTTTCTGGTCTTTGTTCTTTGTTCTTCAGTGTTCTTGTTGATGCTGTCATTGATAGAGGTCTCTGTTCTAGATATGCGGCACAGTTTTTCTACTTCTTTGATTAAATTAAATTCGGGTGGAAGCTGTCGACATATTTCAAATAAATCGCAAGGTACCTATAAAATGAATACTTAATAAAACTTCAAAATAGGCATAATGATTTAAATAACTAAAAATACAACAGTATGTCCCGGATTCTCTTTACAAGAGGAAAAACTTTTATATTATTGACATTTCCAGAAAAATACACCGTTCATAAGAATTTTTGCTTGTTCTAAATAGTTAATTCTTTTATACTTCTCCAAATTTTCATACCGGTTTTGGGAAAATTAAAAAAGAAACATGAAAATATGGCTGAAATTTTCCTAAAAGTCCTAAAAATCAAAAGGCTTTTCTATGGTAATATAATTTCGATTTCATTGAGTTTTAACATTCTGTATTTTTAAAATTATGCATTTGTGGACCCATGTTCATTAAGAAAGTATATAAAATAAGTCTATAAACTTACAGTTTCGAGTTGTTCTCCCTCTCCTTCATCAGACGGCACTGCCAGCCAATAACGATCAGTCAATCTCTCATCGCAAGCATCCGACGAACTGGAAATTTACCAATATATCATATAAGTATTATAAACATAAAGAAACAATTCTAAATACCTATAGATGATTCTACAGGCGTACTGAGTCAAAAGGGGATCAGGAGCCGGAATTATAACCTCTTCAAACGAGTCTTTAAGAGGCTCTTCTGTGCTTTGTAACTGCTTCAAAAATAAAGTTAAACCTTCTAAAATCGTTTCGAAGTTCGTATCTTCTTCCGTCTCTTTCTAAAATATAATTTAGCCATCATAAGTCTATATTAAAGATAAACAATAATTATAATAATTAATCCACAAACAACATTTTTTTAAAGAAAATTAAGCTTTAAAATTAATTTAAAAAAAAAACACTTAATGTTGTGCCACTCGGGTTCTGCATAAAAGTGTTCAAAAATGGTCAGATCCATATTTGTATAGAGGGAAATTTTTAACGATTTAATGTACAGTGAGATCGAAAAAAAACAGCGTCAGCGATGGCTATGAAATGAAGATCGCTGTCATTTTAGATGTAAAATTATATGCGGAATGTCATCGATCGTCATTTCCATGCCAACTCCATGCGTCTAACTCCTGCTGAAGTGACTGTAATAGATCTATTTTTCGATGTCATCTGTCAAAATCTTCCCTGGCTTGTTGGACAGACTAAAGTAAAAGTAAAAATAAATCCAGAGCTCGCTACGTAATTTGTCCCTTGGCCATAGACTTAAAAATATATATTTGTTTAAGCCTCACTCAGACACTCGAAATTAGTGGAATGGATTAGTGGAATCAATTATACCTGACACTTAAAAATTTATGATCTTTTCCAACGTCTAAAAAATACAACTAAAATTAATAGAATATTCTGTATAGCAACAGCTTGACGGTAGTCAGTTGTATCCATAGAGAAAGCCTAATATCTAGCTTATAAAACAATAATGCCCACTTGCACCGTTTGTATAAACTTTGTTTAAAGGCTAAACAGTGATTAACTATAATAAAATATGTATAGTTAATCACTGTTTAGCCTTTAAACAAAGTTTATACAAACTGTGCAAGTGGGCATTAACTTTTGATTTCTAACCACAATTTCTCTTGACGGATGCCAAAATGACATTCCCGCAAATTCTGAAGTATAATTAGTGGAAAAGTTAAAAGTTTCTTAACTTTTTCCACTAATTGAAGATTACTACTTCTAATTTTGACGTTGTGAATGCTTACATTGATATTAGAGGAACAAACTTCTACGCTAATTGAAATCACTAATTTATTCCACTAATTTTGAGGTTCTGAATGAAGCTTTAGTCTTTGACATAGACTGTATAATCCACGTGACGTCACAACATGCGTTAAAGCTTATCTACCTAAACGGTCGATAAGCTTTTATAGTAGATATGTTTATACTGGCTAAACCCATAGTTGAATATACCAAACATGTCACTTACTTTAAGAACCTCCTCCAGCTGCAAAAACGGATGTTTACCTCCATTTTCATCAACCTTATCCCCTTCCCATCCAATGAGATTCTTTATGTCTTCCAGTCCCAACTTAATAGTTCTAGGAGTGTACGGCAACGTTGTGTCTCCTTCTTCAGTCGTCAGACACACCCTCAAAAACTCTACCAGAGTGTTCAATGTCGACAAACATTCCGCACTAGTTTTCGAAAAGTTTTTACAAAGTCTCGTCAACATTATCAGGAACAGTTTGTCCCTTTTCAGAAGATCCTCTCTCAAATGGTAAAACCCATAATCATGTTCAGTCAGAAGTAACAGGGTGCGCACTATGGGTAAATAAGTCACAAAAGAATTTTCTGAACCTAAATGGTCAAGAATTACGACTATAAAACTGAGTAAGTGCTCTTTAGCGGGCATGGCGTTGGCTAAATATACTTCAGAACTAACATTCGAGGTTCCGTCGATTGAACATTGCATTAACGTGATTTCGACATCACAAAAACTCTGGATAATGCTCAAAATACACTCCTGCGCCTGTATATGACTGTTCGCTGCATCGCTGAGTCTTAGAATGTTCGAAAATGCCGGTATTAACGAAGAGTACTTGTCCTCAGTCTTTCCAGTAACGTTAGAGTTCGTATGGATCAAGTGCAGTACTGCACTTTTTATAGTATTATGCGTCACCAAACAAGCCAGAAAATTAAGCAATCTAGCAATATGACTGGAACAAGGAGCGTCTTCTTTAGTTAATACAGCCCGATACACAGTGTCTAGCATACCCTTAGCTACCATAAGCGCAGAATTTGCAGCTAAATCCGATATCTGTACGCAGATCCTGCGAAGTAAGTTTAACAACTGCGGCTGCGTAGATATACAAATCCTGTTGATCATTTCCTGAATAGCTGTGTTGTAAGGATGGAGATGCGCAGACCAGAGCTTGCGTAAATTTATCGCCCAAGAAATTTCTTCTTTGCTCAAGTCATCGCGAGTGTGAATGGGTAAGGGTAAAGGTAACAATTCCGATAAAATTAACAGGCCGGATACGAAGGTATACGGTGCTGACGTAACAAATTTAATCACTTCCCCGCACATCTGAGACCATAACGTCTTATTTAAAGAATCTTTTTCGCGGACTTCGGCAGAAATAGGCTGAGTATACACCAGCAGAGTATCGACTATCGCTATTTTACTTTTGTTGGCGATCTCATAACCGCTTGCAGTCATGGGATAACTATTTAAAAAATTGTAGGTTTGTAACAACACCGGTATTGTTGTTAAATCGCGGAAATCTGTGTTTCTGCACTGCACGACATAACCTAACATTTGTTTCAGTAGAATAACAGCGGGATAAATTATATTAACCAAGGACAATCCTTGGTTTGATACTAAAATTGAACTGTGCAAACCAGGCTGTTCATAGTGATTGCAAATCTTTTGTAATACTTTCACCAACAAGCTAGTTCCATCTAGCGAAAATAGTTGTAAAATAACATGTTTATACTTTAATTCAACATAATTTGATAAAGGATTTTCCAATCCTATGTGCTCTTTATTTTGGTAAGGTGAGATACCTAGATAATGTAATATTCTTAGACTGGTTATCATTGGTCCAGGATGAGAAATTATATTTTCAATTTGTTTATCGATGATCTCGATAAAAGGAGCTATATTGTCATAATTCAACACGTTGACACATTCAAATGGAGTTAGGTATGACCTAGCCTCGTTTATTTTCAAAGCTGAAACGTCATCATACAAAATATTTAAAATAAAATGTATGTTTTTGTTATGTTTTTCGATGAATTTTATATTAGATACAATGACAACGGTGTAATGGAGAAGGTCTAACACGTAGGCTGCTCCAGTGGATTTTTTAATTTTCGCTAAATATGACTCAGATTTCGAGTTTACAGTTTCGAAAAATTGCAGCAAGCACTTTGAATTCTCTTTCATACCCAGCATTTCGCTCACTGAAAATTTACCGACGTTAGAAAAAGTCAGACATAGTAAACCATGCAACTGATCAATCACTGGAAGAGCATCGACGTCAAAGTTGTGTTTTTCGCCAATATCTAGCAAACACTCGATGTGATATAAACTTTGGAGTTTGTAGGCTATTCTTAAGCCTAGATTATGAGATTTCACTTCAATACAGTCACTAAGACTGTACTGTATTTCCTCGTCGGTCCTTACCAAACATTTCAGCAAAACATTTACTGTTTGGCTATTTTCAGAGAGGTATTGTAAACCTTCTGAAGTATCCAACAATACTGAGACTATTTCAAATATTGGTGTTTTTATAGGTGGTAAATTTAGTGTGCTTGGATAGGTGAGGAGCAGCACAAAACACTGTAGCAGATTGAACATTTTAAAGTACTGCACTAAAACGTTATCGGTATCAGCACGCATTATTTCAAATTGCGCAGCAACTGGTAAAAATCTTTTAGGCTGGGACATCGTAAAAGGTTCATTGTTGCAGTAGCTCAAAATCTGATTCAAAGATTTGGTAATCAAATTAATTTCCTCAGCTGAAATATCGTGTGACACATTTCTCAACTTAATAAGAATATTGTGAATCTTAAACAATATTTCATACAGATTTAATTTCTTCAGTATAGAGCTTAGGGCAAACTTAATTCTAACCAATGGATTTTTCTCAATAGCTTCTACAATTATTTTATATCCATTTGCCTGTTTCAAAGCAATATTGTCTGTGTATCCATTCTGTAAACTATGATTGGATACGTTTCCCATTAAAAACTTTTCTATGGCAAATTTGTGCAAAAGATACGAATCTAAAGCCTTCAGTATCATAAGTTTTATAGATAAAGCCATAAATTCTTGGTGATATAGATCAAGGAGTTCCTTGTGAAGGTTGTAGTTCTTATGCCAGATATATTGGATGTATTCGTCACTGCGGCATAGCCAATCAGCCAATCTGAAAATTGATATAGTGCTGAGTGATTTTTTTTTATTAAACGTTACAAATAAATAAAATTTAAAAACTTTAATTTCTTTTTGGAAAATAAAACATAAAATTAATATAATAATTATAAAGTATATTCAACAAGAAAATACATGACAATGCCAGTTATTGTATATCATTTTAATTTTACAGCTTAATTATATTTTCCGTCATATTGTCATGTCAATTATCTTCCCTGACAGACTTTGGCATATTTATTATAAGATGGTTGACAGTGAAACGAGACAGAATAGGCTTGGTGCATTCACCGCCGGTGCTGCCACCATCGGAGGATATCGTAAACAACTGATATAAAGAAATACACGGGTTTAAATAGCGAGTATACAAGAAATTTATTATATAATTATTCTAAAAGTGTTAGGACGTATAATTTGTGAAAATTATAAAAATAAAAAAGTAAATATTTTGATATTTTCAGGATGTCTAACTCGTATTATAATTTATTATTCCGGCTAAAAAAACTTTTTAGATGAGTTGAACTACAGTAGCGAGCATAGTTTTACGCACCGGTTTTGCTAGTGAGGTCATAATTCGGGCTATTTTAACTATAACGAAATGTTTTAAAGGTGCATAATTATAATTTCAGAAGTTGTTCATAAAACATTTAATCGCTACTTGATTAAAAAAAAGTATACCATTAATATTGCAAATTATTTTTCTTTCATTCACATTCCTCTCATAGTATGTCTGTTTAATTTTTTGATTATGTAACGAGCACTTTGTTTACTCACTTGTTTCGTCGAACTGCTTGAATCCATTTTTGCTTTTGATCAAATCGGTGTGAGAAACTATGCAGCTATAAAATGTTGTTTCGGAAAAGTTGAATATCCGGGAAAGTTGAATTCTTTAATGTTATTGCACCCACAACGCCCTAATTATGCCCTCCTTTAGGCGTTAACATTTTTTCAGCAATTTTATTAACATTTTAAATTGTCACAGCACAACACGACGCCTAGTTCGGATTCTTTTTCACTTAATTTTTACTACCAGTGTTAGGTACATCACACAAACCTCGTATCTAAGTGTTTTATAGTATCCTTGTATATGAATTTTTAAAGTAGCTCAACCTAAGACGTTTATGGATGTAAAGCACCAGATGACGGGGCGTATTTCACAGTCTTTTACTAGAGAAAAATATTTTTTGTTACTCTGAATTTTGAAGCGGCCAATAAAAACAGAGAAAATAAAAATCGATAATTTTCGGATTGTGCCAATTGGTTACTAATCGACCAGATACTTTTTGTCTATTAGATATGCTATAAAAGCTGGTAATTATACAATTCGACCATTGTAAATACCCGACAAATTCCGCAAGGCCGACGAGGTCGATGTTTTTCAAGTGTTTTTCACTGATAAGAAAAAAAAATGTTTGTTTAGATAATTTTCGAGATATTTTTTCTTTCTGAATGCACATTTTAAAATATTTTATATTCTTTGTCCGCTTGATCTATTATACTGGTCGCACGTATCGAAGTTTTATTTCTTGTAGTTTTAAAACATTTTCTTGTTTCTTTGTAGTTGTAATGTAAAATTAGATTAATTTATTATAAGTTTGATTATAATGTTTAGTGTAGACTACCAGCAGAAATTTAGTAGTGTTTTTATATTTTATTTTGAAGTTAAGTAGTAGGTGAAGGGGTAATTTGGTTATTTTTTCTTTATGTTTGATTAATTAATAAGTTTGATAATTTGTTTAGTGTAGAATACAAGAAGTAGTTTGTGTAGTGTTCTTATAAGAGATTATATTCATTTATTTTGTAGTTGAGTAGAAGGTGAAGGTATTTGGGTATTTTTTTCTTTTTGTTTTTCTTCTGATAATTATTGTAGTAGTTCTTTTAAATATTGTGATAGATACATTATAATCTTCCTTCTACTTTTCTGGTAGTTGAATATACGAACAAAAATCTGATCAAATTTATTTTAAATAAAATTAATCTAGTCTTATTAATTAATCAAATTAATCTAGTCAAATAATATTAATTGCAATCAATTATTAAAAAATATAAATCATTTTGGAAAATAACTTTTGAAATGGAGTATTATTGATTAAATTTAGCCAATTTTTTTTACCCAGTAGCGTATTTCAATATGATCTTATCATTTATCACTGTATAATAACTTTGTTGTGGCAGAAAAATATACCAGTTAGTTTCAAAATATTATTTTTTTTCAAACGTCACAAAAGTATTAATTTTTGCGACGTGATTGACAATATAAAAAAATCATTTTAACGCCTAGACATAAAAGTAAAGCACTTTTACGCCTAAGCATAAAAGTATGAAAATATATTATTAAAATGACATAAGTCTCAAATTCAACGAGCCGTAACCATAGTTTCTCGATATCTCGATATATAATTACTCATAGTACAAAGAAAACTTGAAAACAAGGTATGGTCGATAGCGTCTCCAATTTCGTTGTTTGCACATATCGCCTGTGACGTCATATGCCATACAAGAAAATATCCGTATTGTTCAACTGCCACTAATAAAAAAAGACCTAAAATAGGGAAGAATTAAATAACCCCTAAAATTATGTAAAATCATCGAGCTTGACATTTGAAAAGTTATGACACATGATACATTTATTATGTGTCATCTGTATGAAAATTTGAAATTTGCGTGTGGAGCTTGCCGATCAATAGTGCCGTTTATCACTTGTGACGTGGTGACAAACCTGCGCAATATCGTACCTTGTTTTCTTTGTATCATGATAAATACTTACAAGGTATGAGTTTTAAATATTTTTATATTATTTGGAACGTTTGAAATTGTTTAAAAAATTATTTGTGGCGTTTGAAAAAAATAGCATGTTCTATTCGGAGTAAAAATGACTTTTGTGCTTCGGCTGTATATCAAACGTACAGTCTCGCCACGAAAAGTGTCATTGGAATTATTCCTATTAAAACAATATACTAGAAAGTTTTATGGTTTAACGGACTTTGTGAGTTAAAACATAATGATATTTTCAGTTTTTATAATTCTTGGTCGAAAATAAACGGCGTCCGCGATGGGTATGAAATGAAGATCGCTGTCATTTTATATGTAAATTTATATGGAAAATGTCGTCGATCGTCATTTCCCAGCCAACTGGACGCCGTTTTTTTTTTCATATGGTACAAAGTTAAAGCAAACTTGACTCTGACCATGTTTTACGCTAAGAAAGATTTATTTCGTGTAGTAATAAAGATTTAAATGGTGTATTAAGTACATAATATTTATTTAAATGTCAAATAATATTATTGAAGCACGTGCCAAGTTTTATTTTTAATTAAGAAAAAAATTAATCAAGAATGTACAAACGTTTTGTTTTCAAAAAAAAATTATCTTAAATTCGTAAAACCTCAATTTAGAATAAAATGATCGAAGAATGAAATAAAATTTTATAGCCCTGGGTCAAATCGAAATAAAGTGTATGTAAATTTTTTTAAATATTAATAATTACCAGTAATTAGCATTAATGTACCAACATATTGAAAATTGTTATTTCTTTGTTAAATACGGTTTAGAATCCTTAAAATAACAGCAAAAATAATCGAAAATCAACAATGAAATAATAGTTTTGTTTAAATTTCTTAATCAGCTGAACCCTATTATAGTTCGCAAAAATCCGAGCTATATTATTACATTACTCTGAGGGAAATACCGCAAATAATCGATATTTTTGACTCCGCCCCTAATCTCATGCTTCATTCCTTTAAAGCTTCACTATTTGTTCACCAGAGGCAGCACATTTTGTCGAGAGGTTGAACAACTTTAAGAATATATAAACAAGGATAGTATCAATAACTGCACTAGCAAAAAACTAAAATACTTAAAATTATGACAAAGCCACGATTTCAATATGATTTTAATGGAATCAACATGAACTGTGTAATCGGGGCGGCTTGATGTATTTCACGAAATAACATAGCGAAAATTTCTGATTTCTGCCGTCTACAGCGCTGCGGTCGGGATTTTTTGAAATCGACTGAAATGCACCAAGCCTGTAGATTACGACAGACGACATCCAATAATGACAGAAAATACAATTTACCTGTGAATCAGAATGACAAGTAAGAAGGTTGGACATATTTTAGGCGCTATTTTCATTCATAAAAATATCTTTATTTTCACTATTTAAATTATAAAAAAGTACTCACCTAACACCACATTTAATATGTCTAATCTTATAAGCAGGCTGATCTTGAGCATTAGCCATTTCATAATTTAACGCAATTTTTAGCCAATCAGTAATAGTTTCAATAATAAAACTAGTTTGATTAGCTAGTTCCCGATCTTCAGCGCTCATTTTCGGGCTTATCAGAGACCTCGCTGCATTGTGAACCTTCATTATATCCACAAAAAAAGGTGCTTCGCCAATCTAGATAACAAAAGGTTATATTATTAATTTAAATAAAAATATGTAATACTAACTGTAGGGATTAATTTTTCACAAAGATGAACAAATTCTTCTTTAATTTCTGGATTGTGTCTACTAAAGTTGTCCAAAACATATTTGGTAATGCTGGATTTTAGGTAATCATCAGCAATTCCGATAGTTGTTTTTAGATTTTCTTCTATCTCAAGAGAATTATCTTTAATAAGATATTTCTTTGTTTTAGGATATTTTTGTAGTTCTGTTACACCTATAAAAACGAAATAAAAAAAATTATAAGAAATGAAAAGTTTTAAGCCATTTACCAGGAACAAATTGTCTAATGATATCATCATTGTTGGTGTATGCAGTATAATCATACTCAGATTCTTGATAATGTTCACCATCATCGACTATATCTTCGTCACTTAATATTGGCTCAAACTCTTCAACATCCATTTGAGTGACTTCTTCATTAGGAGATGATTTTGCCTGTTAATTTTTTTTTGTTAAAGTGTACTTTAAAAATTGTTTTTTTTCTCTTACATCTTTAGAAATATCAACATCCTCGGCAGTTTTTTCCTCTTTTTTCACTTTTTCTCTTTCTTCATCGTGTAATGAATGTTCTGCATGCCCTGTTGGAGACAACATTTCTTTAACCAGTTCTACATTAGGTGGGGAATGAGGTTTTTTAGGGCTCTGCATAGGAGGTGTCCTTGGTCTTTTCCTATCTTCCCTATCCTCTCTATATCTACACATAAAACAGGATAAAAGAACTATGATTATGTCACTTTCAAACAAACTTATACATACCTTTCAGATCTTCTGTAACTGTCATTATGTCTTCTATCTCTTCCCCTGTCCCTATCATGTGTAGTTTCTCTATCTCTATCTGCCTCAGACCATTCATGATCAATTCTATCCCTGTCAGTCCTAGCAATCACATTTATTTAGCTTTTAGTTGAAAAAATTATCAAAACATTACCTGTAATCACTTCTCTCGTGTTCTCTTTCGTAAGGATCTTTATCTCTATTAACATCGCGATATTCTTTAACTGGTCTGTCTCTATCTCTATTTTCTGATTGAGAATATCTTCTATCCCTTCTATCATGTTCTCTCTCCTAATATTTATAAAGTTATAAATTAGTATATTATACAGGCTGACCCAAAAAAACCAGTATGAAGCTTTTTATTGAACACTAGGTCACCCTGTATACCTAATAAATATTCAAGAATAATATAACCTACATGATACATATCCCTATTTCTATCCCTATCACCCTCTCTATTCCTTCCTTTATCCCAATCAGTTTCAGGTGTATGATGATAACTTCTAGGATCTTTAGGTACATCATTATAGTATTCAGGAAATTCTGGATGCTGATATGGTTCTGGCTGAGCATACTGTTGAAAGTTTGCAGTTGATGGATTTGGGAATTCTGAAAACAGCATAAATCATTTGAAATAAGTATCTTATAGATAAAATTAATTTATAACCTAATGGTTGTGACGGAATGTTGTCCTGAGACCATTCAGGATCTACAGAAGCTGTAGATATAATTTGCTGAGCATCGGCAATAGTATTGGGCTGATTCGGTATAGTAGGATTGACTACTGGTTGGATTATTTGTTCTGCTATATTATTAGTTAGGGTTCCATAAACAGCTAGGGTAATAGTAGTATACAAACCTAAAGTATTAAATAAACTGTAAACATTTAAGATAACTCTGAAAGGTCAATATCTTTTACCCCTTAAAACTAAACCATCAGTTGGTATTTTTCTGACTGTCTCATCAGGTGAGCATTCCAAATTGATTTTGCCATTCTGGTCATACTCAAATGCACCCAATGTTTCAAATGTACTGGCCCCGGGTTTGCCTAAATCATTTACAAAAAACTCAATCTGAAATTGACTAGGATTTGTGGCTCCTAATCGGACACCTCCAGGGAAATCTGCTTGAACTCTAGCACCCAGGGGAATTATGCGAACTTCTGTCACGTAAACTGGTTTCGGAAATTGAACTAAATCCAAATTTATTTCCTAAAATGATAATTATGTCAGACTTAAATAAAAATCATTGTAAATGATTATGTGCCTCTGAATTATCATGTGCAAATGTATCGAAGAATAAAAGCTCAACTATTGTGTCGGACATCATTGAATTATCACGGATGTAGTGAGAATTATATATCATATAAAACTACTTTACGTGAATGGAACATGTGAATATTTATATGAGGTATTTTTCATAAACAAGGGATTATTTTCATTTTAAATGTTTGCAAGAAAAACAAAAACAAATATTACAGTTTTTGAGGTTAATTCTAATTCAGTTATAGCAAATCTGTGGTTAAATCTTAATACAGTTAACTGTAATTAAAAAGTAATATTAAGCTAATCACACATAGGTGTCACCAGTCGTGTACTTCATTAGTGACCATAGATTTTTAAATTATAAAATAATTATAAAGTTTATTTAAATCAAAATATTATTTATGTCTCAGTTACATTCTTTAAAATAACAATACATCTACTGAGACAATTTAAGTTTCATTTGTCAATTTTTCTTACTTTAATGTTTGTTGCTTTAATAATTTGTTACTTTAAATCATATAAATTATATATGATCATAATAATAATACCCCATCCCATTACTAATAAAATTGTAATTTACTCAGCCGGTAAAAAAGTATGTTATTTTGCCAATATTTTGTTTATTTCTTTTATATGTCATTTTTTATGTTCTGTGGTGTAGTCTGTCACTTTAGTTTTATTTGTCAAAAGTCGAAATGTCGGAAAATCCCGAGAAAATTTTACCGGAAAACTCTGAGAACAATAGTAAAATAGATGGAAATATCGCTAATAATGTACAAAATAAAAGGTATTATATTTATTTAGTCTATAAAACATTATATACTGCTGGATGATAGTATAAAATAAAAAGTTTTAACCTTCAATTCTAAAGGCAATTATATTAACCCTAATCGATATTTTTATTCTCCTTGTTTTATTCGAGACCCGAAACTTGAATGAATTATTGAATTTAACAATTGTACTAATTCAGTTTTAGGTGTATGTTATTAAATGACTTTGCAGAAAGACTAATTATAACCTCATTTGTAATTTATTTAGTTTTCTAAATGCATTTCAGTGGCAAAAAGAAGCATCGCAATAAGAAAGGAAAGAATGACGAAAGTCAACAAAATTCCAACAATGAACAAAACAGTGAGGACGCGTCCTTGCTCAATACCTTATCAAACCCCTTGAATACCATTTCAATCAAAGATCTTAAAGCCGCTATGGAGGTAATTTCTTTGTCGCAAAAACCAGCTAAAACACCTGAAGAGGCTTTAAAAAAATCATATCAGTTTTGGAGCACCCAACCAGTCCCAAAAATGGGTATAAACTGAAAAATTATTTGTGTATGTATGTTACATTTTTAATTTTTTTAACCAGATGAAAAAATTACTGTAAACGAAGCAATTGAACCAGATAAGCCAGTTAGTGAAGTTAGGGCTGAACCGTATTCATTACCGGATGGTTTTGTTTGGGACACATTACATCTAGATGATCCATTGGTTTTGAAAGAACTATATACGTTGCTTAATGAAAATTATGTTGAAGATGATGACTCAATGTTTAGATTCGATTACCAACCTGAATTTTTGAAATGGTAAATTTATTAAATTTGTTAAAAGATTTTAAAGAAAAATAAATTTAGTTGTATAAATTAGACAAAAGGTGATGTAAAGTATCAATAACTTTCACATTTATGGAGCCGACATCACTAAATTCATATTGGTATATGCTAGGAACTTATTTGCACTGTACTAAATGTCAAAATGTGTTTTTTATAGCCTACATATAGAATTGTTTGGTTAGATATTCCCTCTTCATGGTCTCTGATCAAATTAAAATGAAAGTAAAGCCTGATTTTTAAAGAAAATCTAAATTTAAAGTCGGTAATTAGCAATAAAACCTTTAGAAATGATGTCACCTTGATATATGGAAGAATTATATACAGTTTGCTTCACACAAGCCAATATTTTTACAACAAACTATTTAACTTTTCATTAAAAAACTATTGATTTATTGAAAATATTGAAGTAAATATATGAGTACTAGACGAGAATTAACTGCTATTGGTTAAAAATCACATTAAAAATTGTATCTAGATAGCTGAAAATTGGTATATTTATGTAAAGCTAAAAAAGAATCAACTTTTTTAAATACATTTTCTCGAAAGTTGGCCAGGGTTGGCAGGTTTTTTAGCCATTTATTACTTTAAATCTCAAATTTGACAGATACCTGAGGGCAACGTAGTAAATTTTCTTGTCTTGTCATTTTCATGTCATTTTTAATCTAACTCAAAGCAGGAACTATTGTCTGTGGATTTTATCTGTGACACTATAGTTACACTTGAGTTACATATACCATATGATCGAAAAAAAATGGCGTCTAGTTGGCTGGGAAATGAACATCGATGACATTTCCCATATAAATTTACACATAAAATAATAAAATGACAACAATCTTCATTCCATAGCCATCGCTGACGCCGTTTTTTCTCGACCATACGATATTAAACCAACATGAAGTTAATGTAAAATCATTTTTTTGATTTTTAGGGCACTTCAACCACCAGGGTGGAAAAAAGAATGGCATTGTGGAGTAAGAGTAGTGAAAAGTGGCCGTCTAGTTGGATTTATATCTGCTATACCAGCTACATTAAACATTTATAAGAAGTAGGTATTATCAATTTTCTTTTTCTTTTTGTGATTTAGTATTTTTTATTAGGAGTCAGAAGATGGTAGAAATCAATTTTCTCTGTGTTCATAAAAAGTTACGCTCTAAGAGAGTAGCCCCGGTTCTTATAAGGGAGATAACGCGCCGTGTCCATCTTGCTGGACTTTTCCAGGCTGTTTACACTGCCGGGATTGTTTTACCAAAGCCGGTGTCCACATGTACGTATTGGCATCGATCACTAAATCCAAAGAAATTAATTGAGGTTAGTAAAAAAAATATAAAAAATCCCGATTTTTTTTAATACTTTTTTAGGTAAAATTTTCTCATTTATCTCGAAATATGACCATGCAAAGAACCCTAAAGTTGTACAAGCTCCCAGACTCTCCAAAAACACCTGGTTTTAGGAGAATGAAAACCGAGGATATTGACGCTACCCATAAATTACTAGTAGAGGTACTTTTGGCTGGTTTTAATTAATTTAAATGATAAAATTCATGGGGAAATTTATTTATTTTCAGTTTTTGAGTCGTTTCGACTTGGCACCATATTTTACCAAAGAAGATTTTGTGCATTGGTTCGTACCTCGGCCAAATATTATTGACAGTTTCGTGGTAGAAAACAATAATGTGATTACTGATTTTGTGAGTTACTATACATTACCAAGCAGCGTGATGCATCATCCTGTACACAAAAGTTTGAAGGTAAAGTTTTGAAGGTCTTATTCAAATTACTAAAAAATTGAATGCTTTCAAAATAATTTAAGAGGAGTTAAGAGAGTTGGATTGTATTTTTAGGCTGCTTATAGTTTTTATAACGTTAGTACAAAAACCCCATGGATCGATCTGATGCAAGATGCCCTTATATCTGCCAAGCAGTTACACTTTGACGTTTTCAATGCTCTGGATCTGATGGAAAATTCTGAATTTCTAGAAGCTTTAAAGTTCGGTATAGGAGATGGCAAGTTGCAATACTACCTGTACAACTGGAAGTGCCCTTCTATGGGGGCTAACCAAATAGGGCTTGTTCTCCAATAGGAAATTTAATCCAAATTTGCATAATTTACTTAGTTTTATATTATTTTTAATATAAATGAATGGTGGTTTTGCATAATACGAAATATTTTAGGTAAAACGGTCTATTTCAGTATTTTGTTTGTTGATTTTCTGATATTTTTGATTAAACATTATTAGTAAGAATAACTAAATTCAGAATTATATATTAATTTGAGTTGTAGTATGAATGTATAATGAACTGAAAATTGAAATATGCCCAAAATTCTTAGTCTTTCAATTATAAAAAAATATAGAATTATTATTAATTGTTATGATATGTTTTTTATCTTTTGGACTGGTGTATTAATGCTTATAGATTTCTATAACAATTTTTGAAAATGAATTATAAATTCTTACTAGGGGGTGGATGTATATTCTCTAATAACAAATTTTAAAGAATAAATATTAGAAAATAACTTGAAGGCGAAACACCAATTTATTTTCACAAAATGTGTATGCATAACTACACTTTATTTTTCACATATATAGACGTTTAGCTTTATCATTTAAGTATAATATATCTATTTAGTTATGTATTTTGTGAATAATAAATGTTGAGTAAGTTAAAAGATGTATTAATCAAATGACCAATCTTTAATTTTATACGCCCACAGTAATAAAACCATAATAAAACTATTAATTTAACGTTATCAAGTTACACAAAACATTTGTAAATATCAAAAAAAAAAGATATTTAAACTCGGTTAGGTTGTTGAGTTTAAACTTTAGTTTAAACATCTTTGAAAAAAGTTAAATAAATTGTAATGGTACTATATAATTATCAGTGGTACATTTAAAATTATTTTAAACAGAATTAACCATAGACAAAAAGAGAAAAAGGGTGTTCTCTTTTTCGATAAATTGTACTTCTGTCAAATCTGCTGTCGTGCAATAGAAATAAACCATTCCTAATACTGGATAATCTACTCACCACTAGATGGCGTCGCATCGAGAAAATGTAACTTTTTTGTCTCATTTTTGACATTGACAGTAAACATCAGTCAGCCATCTTGCTTGTCACAAGGTCAATATATGTGTGTTATCTAGTGTGGCAAAGTGGCTTATTTACATATTATTTGTTTCTTTATCTGCAATATTCGACCGAGACAAAAATGATAAAACTTTGTTAAAATGTTTTCTTCGACAGGATCAGCAAAATTCGAAAGCAGCCGTGAGTACAAACCCGATGCATCACTTTCACCTATTGCATTTGACATTTCTATTCACCGACCATAAAAAAATAGCCCACTTTTTTCTACAAATTTGTTTCCAATCCAATCAATTCACGCTACTTATTTTCTGTGCTTTTTTTTTGGTCTTTTTAAATTAAAGAATCACTGACTAAAAAAGAAATACGGTTTTCCTAAATTTTTCCTATAGCACATATGAGGTCTCATCCTTGTCCCAGATATGGCTAGACGTACAAATGTTTATGGCAATTTTTTAAAGACGTGGTTTAGATTTTTACTAATTATTTGTGAAGATCTTGATCGATTATAGTTGGACCGTTTAGTGTATGTATGCAAACATACAAATCTTTTTTAAACTAAATGTTATTAGTTAAAGGAAAATACAATTTTTTTCAATACTTGAGTTTGAGAATTAAGGAACTGGAACTAAGGTGAACACCAGTAAACACCGCATGAATTGCATTTTATTTGTTTTGTTTTTGAGCCAGTGCCAAATTTGTCCTTGCCAAATATTTAATATTATGGCCAATGATATATTTTTTGTATAAATGCAAAAAACAATATAAGGAAATAATAAATATATTTTTCTGAAAGCGCCAACCTTGTTTATTAGCTTCAGTTTGTCTATATACAAAGAATGTATGCATTTGTCATCTAATGTACATTATATTCATCTTTCAATGGGTTGCTTCTTTGATAAAAAGCGACCTTTAACCTTTTGATGTCACTGACCATTAAATACCTATAATAATCACAACATTTATATACGTCTATTAACGTTATTTTTAGTCATATTTTCCTAACATTATTGCTGTTCAGCTCTAAAAATGTAGTAGGTATAATATTATTGAGAGAAGAGTGTACACATTTTCCAATAATTCGATATTTTTTTGGTTACTTATTAAAAAATCCAAAATTCTAAATAGAATTTTAATTTTGAGCTTTTTCTGATTTGAGCAATATCTTTATAAGGGTATATAAAATATTTATTTTATTTCAAATAGTATACTTATTTATAGAGATATATATTATGTAAGAAATAGCACAAATACTTTCTTCCACATAAGGTTACATAAGTTGAAACTAATTGTTTATTTATATATCTATTTATAACCTTGCTACTGGATAAATATATTATCAAGAAGACATACCCTTGTTTATGTCTTACATTCAGATTACTGAAATAATTGTTTTGATTTATTATATATTTATTTTAATAATTTAAATCTTACTTTATTGTGTATGTTTTATAGCGCCAATACTATTGTCTTGCTACTGGATAAATATATTATCAAGAAGACATACCCTTGTTTATGTCTTACATTCAGATTACTGAAATAATTGTTTTGATTTATTATATATTTATTTTAATAATTTAAATCTTACTTTATTGTGTATGTTTTATAGCGCCAATACTATTGTCTTAGTATACAATACAAAAAGTGCATTTGGTTTAAGATTATATCTTTTCTTTATTTAGTTTAAGACATCTAATGAGTTTATCTCTAAAGTCCCGTCTACACATAACGTTTTACCTGTCAGTCTTATTGGTTCAGTCAATCAAAATATATCAAGTAAAACATTGTGTGTAGATGAAAAAAAAATGGATATTTTACTTCAACAGAGTTAAGAGGGAACACTGTCTAGAGTACTGACGGGATTATTCATTTCGCAAACAAAACTGTCGTTTTGCCTACACTGAAAAAATGCATGTAAGTAAATTTACAAGAAATGACATGGGATATATTATAGCATCAATGTGAATAATTTACTATTAAAATCACTAAATCATATTTTCTTATGTGATTTTGTACATACTTATATGATATTGTGCAATGACATGGGAAACATACAGAACTGACTTCATTTCTCTAGACGGTCTTCCGTTCCGTTTTGACTGACAGGTAAAACCTTAAGTGTAGATGGAGCTTAACAAATTGACCAAAATAACAAAATCTTACTTTTTACCTACTTTTTTGTATAGTATGATCTATTATTAAATTGTAGTTAAAATGGATGTCGTGGATCAACCAAATTCGATATGCCACATTCAGTCGATACACATGTACCCTTTGCAACCACCCGAGCCAGATAAATCAGTACCCTTTGGACTTCTGGCGGGCGAGATGGTACTTCATATTGGCAGTTCAGTCGACGGATTGATTGCCGTCACAAATTACCGACTCTATTTGCAGAATGGCGAAAATCAGTTTTATATCCCACTGGGATTGATCGAAAATGTCGAAATTAGAGAGCTGTTTTATTTGCAACTGTTTTGTAAAGATGCTAGGACATACAGGTAAGAGTTTGGAAAATCATTGAAAGAAAAAGCTTTCTTACTTCAATAATGTATTATATAATAAGATATTATAGACAATATTGCATCAGGGTTGGCTGATATATATCAAGTGATATATATTATGATACATATCACGATATACGAGGGTGGTCTGAAAAGTTTCCGACCTAACAAAGATACAAGACATTTTTTCTGAATATTTTATTTTATTTTTCAACATAAGTCCCTTTGTAACTCTACACACTTTTCTCAGCGATGCTCACATCTCTGTAACCCGTCCAAATAGTAGCTACTCGGCGTTTTTCTCTGCAAAATAGTGGTTCACGAAGGTGATTGCCTCTTCATTTGACGAAAATCTCTGTCCTCCGAGCGCAATTTTTAAATGAGGGAACAAAAAGAAGTCGCTAGGGGCTAGATCTGGTGAGTAAGGCGGATGGTCAAGCAGTTCAAACCGTAATTCGTGGATTTTCGCCATGGCAACCGCTGAGGTGTGAGACAGTGCGTTATCTTGGTGAAACAGGATTTTCTTTTTCTGTAAATGAGGCCGTTTTTCCGTAAGTTCTGCTTTTAGCTTGTCAAATAATGATGCGTAGTATGCTCCTGCGATGGTTTTTCCTTTTTGAAGATAATCAATTAAAATAACTCCATGACTATCCCAAAAAACAGTCGCCATCGTTTCCCAGCCGAAATAACAGTTTTTGCTTTTTTTGGAGCCGGTTCTCCCTTTGCCGTCCACTGTTTGGACTGTATTTTTGTTTCTGGTGTATAGTGGTGTATCCAAGTTTCATCTACAGTAATTAATCGACGCCAAAACTCGGATTTATTGCGCTTAAACTGCGCTAACATAGCGTTGGAAATGTTCATACGAACACGCTTTTGGTCTAACGTGAGCAAACGCGCGGACAGCTTTCTCATGCCTAAATCTTGAGTTAATATGTGACAAACACGTTCTTTTGATTTGTTCATAACCTCTGCTATCTCTCTCACTTTAATTCGGCGGTCGTCTAGCACCATTTGGTGAACTTTGGCGATGTTATCATCGGTAGTTGCAGTTTTTGGACGTCCCGAACGTTCGTTGTCTCCCAAGCTCTTACGGCCACGTTTAAATTCAGCTGCCCAAAATTTCACCGTGGTAAATGATGGTGCAGTGTCCCCATACACAGAATCCAACTCATGTTTACTTTGTGTAGGCGTATTGCCTTTCAAAACCAGATATTTAATGACAGCTCGATACTCGATTTTGTCCATTTTCACAAAAACACTGACATCAACTCACTCAAACGACTGTTACATAACAACTGTGCATCCAAAATGGCTGAAACTTTGGTGAATAACTGTCAACAGATGAACAATGAAAATTCACTAGCTTTTATCTACGAATGCTGCCATCTTCACGTTGAGGTCGGAAACTTTTCAGACCATCCTCGTATATCAGATATTTATTGATTTATATATGTTACGGGCGTCCGTGGGTCCACTAATTTAAACTCACGATAAAATACTTAACGAATTTATTTTTTCTCACTCTGTACACACAATTTAACTGATTATAAAACACAGTTTATGCAACTACTATTACTCTAACTTTTCTGGCACCTTCGCCAATTAATTCACAATTTAAAACGCGGTATTATCAAACTTCAAACTTCAACTGCCGAGCGCGGGCTTTATATACTCTACTGACTGTTTCTCGAACCTTCTGTAATTTTCGATACTTTTCTGCCATCTACCAGTAAATTCTATTGCTTGATTCGCATACTTGTCGACTTGATTAAAAGATGGTGCCTCAACAAAATGTATTCAGATTTCTTGACAATGCAAGCAATACACGTTTTAGTTACTCGCTTCTCCGACAGATGGCGCCACATATACCTTGACAATATCATCACAGATTCTTAGAAAAAAAATTAACACAGTTTCAAAAACTACAGGCTTTGGATCTTCTAAATTCACTAAATCCAGAATTTGTTTTGCTTATTATATCGGGAACGGCGTCGAGGTATCGAGTTGAAATTAAAACCACATACTCAGGTCTACAGTTCCTTGAAGCTGTGAAAAAATCAAACTTCTAAGTTAACGTAAAAAAAAGATACGGCCGTTGATTCTGCAAAAACGTATATTTCGACACTCTCAGGAGAATCAAAATTTATAGGGTATATTTTCCGTTCACCTAGAACTTTGAAATTTGGCAAGTTATACCCTCTTATACTAAAAGTATAGGAAAAAATCTGAAAACTATACATTTGTAATTAAATCATAAAAATATAAGTCTTTATTTTATGGAACTCTTGGTGGGCGAGTCCTTAGGGCGAGTCCGACTCGCACTTCCTGTTTTTTTTTAATTTTTTTTACTTTGATTGTAGATGCACCTTTGAAAACAACGAGACTGCTCTTACTTGGTATGACCAAGTGTCTAAAGCGGCAGAACCTCAACAGCAACTGGAACAAGTATTTGCTTTCTACCATTGCATTTGGGCAAAGGAAAAAGGTGGTGAAGATGTAGCCTTCAAAATCGAGTCCCAGAAAAAGTATACATTCGATAAGGATATGTTCGAAAGTGAGGTAATTATAAAGATTAACATACTTTTTTATTTACGTAAATTATATTTTTACGCCGTTATTATTATTTCTGCAGATGGCTAGGATGCAGTTTCAAGGCGACTCTTGGAGAATCACAAAAGCCAACGAAAATTACAAGCTGTGTCCCACCTATCCACCTTATCTTCTAGTGCCTTCCTGTATCAATGACGAGATGTTGGAAAGTGTCGCGAAGTTTAGGAGTTCCCGTAGAATTCCCGCTGCCGTGTGGAGGTAATTTGAATTAATTAAATTGAGTAAATTATAATTTTTAGCTGTTTGAGAACACTGTATATTACTGAAGAAATTTATCAAAAAACGCAATTTGATTAGTGACAGCTACATAGGAATTTATCTCAATTTCTAGTGTGAGCTAATTTAGAAAACTGTAGATATTAGGTATAATTTTTGTTTGCCCTGTATAACCAAACATTATTGTAAGGAAACGCCAAAATATAGTATATTGTTTTATTAGGAGTAAAAATTACACTTTTTGTGGTGAGGCTGTACAGGGTGGTCGAAATTGGTCTGTTTTAACAGAGAAAACCTATTTCCTGACTAGATAGAGCAAAACCGGCATAGATGTCATGGGCTCGATTTCTGAGAAACGTTTAATGGCCTAAACCGCCTATTCATATTTTCATTGCCAACCGAGATACGGAGTCTTTTTGAATTTTTTACCATTTGGAAAATTGCCCATAACTTTTGTATTTCCCGGAATAATAAAATTCTCTAAAAACTTTCTTAAGGCACTTTTTTAAGCACAATCCAGTGGCGTAGTCAGTTTTTTTCTATACTTGCTTTTTTAGTCAGAAATAATAAAAAATATAATTTTTTAAATGGAAATCATAGTTGGCTATGAACTTAAAAAAATGCTGGCGTTTAACCCTTTCCAACGATATAAAGTTATGTGTATCTATTTCTAAATATGAGAGCAATATTACGTTTTTTATCTTTGCGTCGAAGCGGGCCTTGATTTTGTGTTGACCTATAGTGGCCTAATTCTTTTTTATCACAATTTAATATTCTATGTCATTATTTATTTGCATAATTAATGACTTTTGAAAAGGTAAATCAACATTCTATATTAGTATTACCATTTACAATTAAAAAGCCAGGGTTACAACTGCAGAATTGGATTGGAACAAGGGATCCCATATCTTGGCCTACTAAATCCTGTGATGTAACTCCTTTTGACTTTTTTTATGGGGGAAATTAAAAGGCCTTGTATATAAGGGAAGAACCATTGGGACGAGAGAAGAATTACAGAAGGCTACTAGGCAAGCTTTTGGACTTATTACACCAGTTCGTCTAATAAATCGCTGTAACTCTGTGCGCAAAAGATGTTTATTGTGTATTCAGCAAGGGGGTGCTCAGTTTGAACATCTTTGATGATTTTTTTTAGAAAACTATATTCGTCACTCAAAAAATACTTTTTTTTTTAGTTTTATTCTTTGTTTATTGTATCGATTTCAATTGTAATTACTAATCATAGATTTAGTAAGAACAGATATCACATTGTGCATTTTAACCCGATCCAACAATCGGAGGTTGACTACGTACTGTAAAAACCAACTGAGATAGAGAAGGCGACATTGCCACATCTCAAATTTGCGCCTATCTACTTAGTTTGATTTGCAGAAAAGGTGACTTTAAAACCTTCACCGGATATCAATAAATCTCAATTTCTTAATTAAATTTATAGTTTATTTTTAAAGAAGCATGCGTAATAATATGTTATTAACCAGAGGATATATGCGTTACTATTAAAGGACATGTTTACCTTTTAATGTGCTGAAACGTCTAGAAGTATTGGCAACGTCGCTGCTAGTCTTCCGGAATGAAATGAGCCGTCCGTCCCACCACCCCTCGCGACGGCCAATGGTCCGTTATAGCGTACTACGTTTAGCTTACGGTGTGTTTGAAGTCGGAATCAAGCCCGAAGTGAACTTTTCGGTGTTTTTCATTAGTTTTTGTTTTTGTTTAACGTACTTTTGAATCTGCGAATTTTCAATATGGTAGGACAGTGTCAAATGTGTGGAAAAATAAGCTCAAATTACCCGAATTTGTCTTTTCACAGGTAGGTATTGTTTCCGCCGTAATCGTACATAGGCGTCCCACAAGGGAGCCTCTCACAATTAAAATAATTTCTAATTATATTTGTTGAATTTTGATCTATTAAAATAAGAACGTAGTAGCCGGTAATTGAATTATAATTCGTCTCAATTACTACCTAACTGTTGTAAATCATAACAAATTTGAATATAAACGTTGCATTTGAAACTTTATTATAAGCCAGAAAAAGTGACATTTTTTTTAAATTGTGTCATATTTTGGTCATTATATACGATATTCTAAAGGAATTTTGCTCAACAAATAAACAAAGGTGTTTACCCGTCCTTTTTTACAACCGATCGTTAATCGGGGCCATTGTAAAGCACATTTTCAAAATATTTTTGTCAACATACAGGGTGATTCAAACCGCAATACATATGCTTAATACAGTTCATGAAGATTGGGACATTTAACTAAAATTTGATTGTCTGATGAAGCTACCTAAGTAATGGATTTGTAAATAAACGTAATATTCATTATTATGCGACAGAAATCCCATACTGTAGCACACAGATTTGATACTTTTAATGATACATGCCTTCTATTGAAAGACTAAAAGGTAATTGCCTCGTATCAGAGCCATCATAATACGAGAAGAAGACCGAAAGTCAAATCTTGTCTTATAATTTCACTTCTTGTTAACACAATTTTCTCATTAAAATACATATTGATTTTAGGTATAGGAAGCTATCGATTGCGAACTAACTAAATTGTAACTAATTACTAATTTTGAAAAGTTCTTTTTAAGATCAAAAAAAGTAAAACTAAAACCTAAACTATCATTTGAGATTAAACGGGAAGTTCTAAATAATGTTGCCTATTCTAAACAGGAAAAATTTATTTATAAGTTTTATAACATCTCTAATTAAATTTGGACGAAAAGAATATTTCTGTTTGCTGTAGGTAATTTTCTCAGGGAAAATACGTAAATAAAAATGACTTTTTAAGTCAAAAAAGTCAAAAGGATAAGTTATTCCAAAAAAGGACAGGTGGCAACCCTAGGTATTTCTGGAATGGAAATTTAATGGCAAATCTACAACTTTAGTTTGAAAATATGTTCCGGCCACCTATGTTTACAAAAATGTCTAAAATGTGCTTTACCATTGCCTCCATATTCTAAAAAAATTGAAAGAAAAGTCACCAACCACAAACCTAATATAGAACTGTTTCGGAAGCCTGAGCCACCCTGTAAATATTCAAAAGTAACTGAAAGTTTATAGAGAAGTAACTGACAGTTTAAATTGAATATCGACGTTGGAGCGATTTTCGAAAACTATCCACTAACGTTTCAACATAAGTATATGTGGGATATTAATTATATTATTATATTAGACCTTATAACAAAACTCATCTAACGAAAAAGTGTTAATGTGTGAATATGGAGTAAAAATTTTACTAATTACTTTACTTTTACTTTACTACTTAAATTCGTTCCAAAAAACGATACGCCACTGGCCATTAGAACAATCCAAATGTGCCTAGTTGCCGGGGTCGGAAATTTTAGACTTCCCTGTCCCTTCTGTCCTTGTTCGACACATTGGAATGTTTGATACACTATCAACGAGTATTTATGAATGAGATGTTCGGTCTATCTTTATAATGTCTTTGTTACTAATACTAATATAGAAAGTTAATTTACCTTTTCAAAAGTCTTTAATTATGCAGATAAATAATAATATAGAATATTAAATTGTAATAAAAAATAATTAGGCAAATAGGTCAACACAAAATCAAGGCCCGCTTCGATATAAATCAAAAACCTAATATTTCTCTCATTCCTAGAAATAGATGTCCATAACTTTAGATCACTGGAAATGGTAAAACGCAAGCATTTTTTTAAGTTCGTAGCCAACTATGATTTCCATTTAAAAAATTATATTTTTTATTATTTCTGACAAACAGAGCAAGCATAGAAAAAAAACTGACTACGCCACTGGATTGTGCCTAAAAATGTACCTTAATAACGTTTTTACAGAATTGTATTATTCCGCAAAATAAAAAAGTTATGGGCAATTTTCAAAATGGTAAAAAATTCAAAAAGGCCCCGTATCTCAGTTGGCAGTGAAAATATCAACAGGCGGTTTACGCCATTAAACGTTTCTCGGAAATCGAGCCCATGACATCTATGTCGATTTTGCTCTATCTAGTCAGGAAATAGGTTTTCTCTGTTAAAACAGACCAATTTCGACCACCCTGTACATACAACATACAGCCGGGGCACAAAAAGTCATTTTAACTCCGAATAGAACATGCTATTCTTTTCAAATGCTACAAATAAGTTTTTAGACAAATTCAAACGTTCGAAATAATTTAAAACTTTTATACTGTGGAAGCAAATTTGTGTATTTTAAGTACAAATCTAGTTTTGAGAAATTGGTCTTAATAGTAAGTTACACTTCTTAAGAAAAATAAATTTCGGCGTACTTTTTTAACCGGTTATATTCTCGCTAGAACAAACTAATAATATTTGCGTATCTTTTTTAAGACACACAAGAAACGGGGCTATAATAGCCCGATGTAGCCAGCCGGAAGTTGGCTGGTTGGGTTGGCGTTCCAGTGAAGACGAAGATTTACTAAAGGCTATTTCCGAAGCCTGCAATTTTGACAGGAACCTGCGAACTAACGGCAGTAGCGACAAAGATTCCGTCCTGTCACATTCTCCGGGATCGTTGCATTCTGACGAATCTTTGCAAATCACCGGCGATGTCGAGAAGCAAGAGAAAAAGGTGAGTTTTTCGACAAAATTTCGATAAAAAATGTCTATCAGTGGCGGAGTAAGCCTGTCGGGGGCCTGGGGCGGCGAAGGTAAATGTGGCCCCCGGTCTGTTTAGATAATGATATACTTCTAATGCACATTTTTCAAAAATTGAATGACGTATGTGTAATGGTTGACAAAATTCAATTATTTATACAGGGTGTCCCAGGCTGAGCCTGCGTTAGGTGTTTCTAGAGAACTACAATATCTAGATACGTGATTTTGTGTATATCATTGTTGCACAATGAGATCAATCGATTAAAAACATTTTCAATATGGCGGCACTTTCGGAAGTACCGGAAGTTGACAGCAACTTTCTTATTTTAAATGGGTGACCCCATTTTTTATTACCTACTTAAATTCTCTGTAAATTTCTATGAATTTTGATCTTAAACACTCTATACCTAACGTTAACAGTTTTGAGGGAAAAAAAATTTATAATTTTTGGAGGAAAAAAACTGCCTGTCAAAAATATGTATATAGCCTAAACGTCAAATTTAGTGATTGCCGCAGCCACTGTACCATAAAGAGAAGACATGTGGCTATCTGTGCAGCCTAAAAGTCAAATTTAATGATTATCACAGCCCTGTGACAAAAAGAAAAGACATGTGGCTATCTATTTCAAAAATTAAATTGTTCAAATGTCATATAATAATGGCCGCAGCTGTCATGGAATTGAGCGAATAAAAAATTATCATAAATCATTTTTTTTTCAAATGGAAATCCACTTTTTTTATTTCACTCCTGAAAAGGCTTTCGTTACTTTCGTTTTTAAAATTTGTTACTTTTTGACTATACATGTTCCTGTACCTAAAATTAATCGTTTTTAAGTTATTTAAGATTTAGTTTTAAAGCGTATATTTTTCTTGATTTTAATCAGTAGCCTATGACAGTATATTATCGATCACCATTTCCAAGCTAACTTTGCGCTATTTTTTTTTTCGATCGTACGGTATATTATTAAAATATCAACTATTAGATATCACTAAAGAACGAAAATACGAGATATATTTATATAAATACACTTTTTAAACAAGCAGCAGTAGATATAATATAGGAAATCCAAATAATTCATTTTCTGACAGATGGAAATAAATTGTCTCACTGTTTGACACTTAATGTCAAAGGAAGCTAGATAAAATCAAGGAAAATATACGTTTTTTTAACTGAATCTTAAATAACTTAAAAACGATTTATTTTAGGTATAGGAATATGTTTAGTTAAAACGTAACGAATTGGAAAACCTTTTCATTAGTGAAATTAAAAAAGTGGGTTTCCATTTGAAAAAAAAATATTTATGATAATTTTTTAATCGCTCAATAACATGACAGCTACCGCCATTATTATATGACATTTGAACAATTTAATTTTGAAATAGATAGCTACATGTCTTTTCTTTATGTCACAGGGCTGTGATAATCACTAAATTTGACTTTTAGGCTGTACACATTTTTTTGACAGGTAGTTTTTTTCGTCCAAAAATTTTAAATATTTTTTTCTTAAAAATGCTTCCAGGGAAATACCGTGACAAAATATCGCGATTTTGTAAGTTCTCCAAGATGCGAGGGGCCCCTTCGCTGTCTCAGGCCCTTGGCCCCCGTTATACTAAAGACTTCACTGCTCATCATCAGTAATGAAGCTGGAATACAAGTTATGCTCTACATTGGTTGTAATTTAAAATGTTTATTCAGTAAAAATGAATAATGAAACCATTGAAAAATAACTTAAAAGCTAAATAAAAAAATTAACTCTCTAAAATAAATAAATTCAGTCTCAAAATATATAAAAAATAATAATTATTCGATATTTTAATCAAAGAAAATTACCCCTTGATTTAATTTCCTAAATAGAAAATGCCACTGACAATTACTGGGGCCTGATAATTGATAATTAAGTAAATATCTGCTTCCATTTATACTGTTTATAGTTGGTATATACGTATGGTTTGCATACTCCACCTACAAACTGCTTTATAACTACTGAACACATATTGGCCTTGTTTGCCAGTTGAATAAAAAATTTCTTATTAAGATTCGGTGGCCCCCTAAAAGAGGGAACCGGGGCGGACCCCCCCCTTCCGCCACTGATGTCTATACCAATGTGGCGGATTCATTTCTCCAAAAAAATCCTGTATGGGTTTCGCCACTGCAAGAAAATCTACAAAATAAAATCGTTATTTTTTTGTAAACGCTGCTGCGTTAATCCAAAGGAAACTACTTGTCAGCAGTTAGGTTTACAGATAAACAAATTTGCCTAACGAACAAAAAATGCTTTTTTTTTTCTCTTTCCGTCGTCGGAAGCAAAAAAATACAAAGAATAAAGAAAAAAACTATTTAAAATATTTAAATGCAACTATTTGAGAACACTTTATTTTTTTTTTAAATCAAATACGTCTACAAAAACCGTTCACGTTCTGTTAAATTCGAAACGTTAAGCATTTTTTTTTGTTTGTTAGGCAAATTTGTTTATCTGTTAACCTAACTGCTGACAAGAAGTTTCCGTTGGATTAACGCAGCAGTGTTTACAAAAGATAATATTTTATTTTGTAGATTTTCTTGCAGTGGCGAAATACCGATATAGGATTTTTTTTGTAGAAAATTTCGATAATTTAGGGCAGTTTCTTTTAATTATGAATTATGTATGCCATATAGGCAAAAGAAAGTCTGGGGTTGGTATTTACATGTCTAGGAGTGAATCGCTATAACCAGCGGCGTAGCGTGGCGTCAGCACAAGGGGATGTAATAAGTAACTGCAATTAACATTTCACCAACACCATAAAGTTTTTTTTATTATTAAAGTCTTTAATTTTCAAGTTACAAAAATGAAATATACAAAAAATGTAACAGGTTAAAAAATAATGAAACGAATTAAAAAAAAAGAACTAAGTTTATTGAGTGCGTCACAACCACATAACCAGTGTTCACCTTTGATAAACATTTTCACTAAAATGGCGAATATACGATTTTAATTTAGTATTAATATTCAAAATATGTTTTGGGAGTCCTTCAATAGTTCTATTTTTTCTGAATACACCAGGATGATGCAAAATTATTTCTATTTTACAGCAGCACTTAGAATCGGTCGTAGAGACGATATTTTTTATTTTATGCCGTAAACGAGATGTGTTTAATAAACCGCATCACCCACATACCGACTAAATCAGAAAACAGGAGACGTAATCGCGGCCGGAAAGTTCGCTGACCTCGGTTTGGTTTGGTAAGATGTAACAAGGACAGTCGCATCATCGCGCTCTCGAGATATTTTTAACGTTTAGCGTAGATCTTAGCGTTATCTATAAAGCTCGACCAATAGATACTGTCAAGAAAAATGGCGCATCCGCCAGAAATTAAAAATGTATTACTGGTTGCCTGCACAACCGCAACGTATCCGCCAGAAATTAAAAGACTTTTTCAGGCGCCATCTTTTAGTCAAGTCGAGAAGTAAGGGAATCAGACAATAGAATTGTCTGGTATGAAGAAGTACGCTTTCCGAGAATTGGAGAAGTTTCGAGAAGCAGTCAATAGAGTATATAAGCCGGAGCCATCGACAACTGAGACAGTTTTTGAAATTCGAATATACCGCGTGGAAATTGAAAATCGGACAATTTGGTGAAGGAATCTTATAAATAGTTAGTTTGTTGTGTGTTATAAGTTAGTAATTGTGTATAAAGTGAGAAAATAAATTCGTTAAGTATTTTATCGTGAGTTTAAATTAGTGGACCCACGGAATCCGTAACAATTGGTGTCGGAAGTGCGATTCAAGAGGATTTTAAGAAGAAATTAAGTGGATTGGAGGATTTTTAGACCGGATTAGAGTATTTTTATGGTTGGTACAAGGGAACAAGCGAAGAAAATGGAGGAAGTTAGCAAACTATTAGGCGATTTTATGGAGAATATGAGAAGAGAAAAGGCAGAAGAACAAGAGAGGCTGCGAAAAGAAAAAGCAGAAGATCAAGAAAGACTCCGTAAAGAACGAGAAGAAGAGCGAGCCCGACTAGAAAAGAGAAAGCAGAAGAACAAGAAAGACTCCGTAAAGAACGAGAAGAAGAGCGAGCCCGATTAGAAAGAGAAAGGAAGAGGAAAAACTACGACGTCAACAAGAACAGGACCGGCTTGAGAAAATTTTCGAAGATTTGAAAGTTCAACGACAACAAGAGAAACAAGAAGAACAGGACCGGCTTGAGAAAATACTGGGTAATTTGGAAATTCGTTTGGAGGAGCGACGTCAAAAGAAAGACAAGAAGAACAGGACCGTATTCAGAAAATTTTAGAAAATCAAGGAATTAGACAAGAACGGTTGGAGAAAATTGTTGAAGATTTAGAAGTGCGTCGCCAGAAAGAAAAATTTGAAGATCAGGACCGTCTTAAGAAAACTTTGGAAAATCAGGAATTTCGACTACAGAAGAATTTTGAAGACCTGGAAAAACGACAGGAGAACCAGAAGATCTGGAGGAACGCCTTCAGCAGAAAATAGAAAAATTGGAGATGGACCTACAGAAGACCAAGGTACAAGTAAGGACACCTGGCGTTCATGGAACTGCGAACCTCAAGGCCCCGACCTACGATGGACAAACCACCTGGACGATGTACCACCGCCAGTTTGAAGCAGCGGCTGCTGCCAATGGATGGACTGACCAGGAGAAAGCAGCGGCACTCGTCATCGCGCTGCGTGGCCTGCCCTGGAATTGCTACAAACTATTCCTGCAGCCCAACAGCAGGAATACGAAACATTGGTTGCTGCACTGGACAGAAGATATGGCGACCAACATCGACGCCAACTTTACCAGGCCCAGATCAAGACACGCCTGCAGAGGTCCGGAGAGAGTCTGCAGGAATTTGAAGCGCAGACTTACGTCGGCTGGTACACCTGGCATATCCAGAAGCACCGGAAGGATTTAGGAGGAACTCGCTGCTCAGTGCTTTATCAGCGGACTGAAGGACAACGAATTGCAGAGGGCGCTGCAAATATCCC